CGCCAGGCAGGAAGCCCTCAACGTCCAAGCCCATATCCACCAGCTACGTGACGGGACCGAGTACGCCACGTCCCCCGGCCACCGTTGACTACCACTACGACAATGTGCCGCCACTTTTCATGGCCGACGACAAGCTGGACGCCTTCATCCAGAGCACGGCAGAAAACATTGTGGGGTCCACGCCCGGAAACTACCAGCCCCCACTGGTGGCCACTGCCTCGACGCCAATCTACGCTCATAGGCCCACGATCAGCAGCAGCTATGGCGGTCACAAGAAGCCCGGCTTCGTTCAGATAACCCAGGGAACCCCCAAGCCTCCGAGACCCACGGTTCTCATCACACCCAAGCCCACGGCCATCAATCTGGTCACCTACAGCTCGCTGAGCGATGAGAACAACAACAACAAGCTGGCCTCCAGCACGGGCGCCTATGTGACCGGCAGACCCGGAGCACAGGGAGTGAGCTCCAATGACTTTGAGGATCCCGGCTACTTTGGCAGCAGTCCCATGCACGTGGCTTTCACCCAATCCACCACCGAGGCCATCTACGCCGTGCCCTCCGACGACAAGCCGGCGTTCCCTGGCTACTTCGGACCCACGCCCTCGTACCCCGCCTTCTCGGTTCCGGGCGAAAAGGTTGGACAGAACGTGATGGAGGAGACGTACACATCGCCCAACGACTTTGTCAACTTCCCGCCGGTGAGGAACCCGAATCTGAACATGTCGGCCGCCTCCAGTGCGGTGACCAGTGACCTGGAGCTCTCCACGCCCGCCTTTGTCGAAGACGTAGTGCTGAAGGACAAGATGCACACGCTGGTCCACAAGCTGGTAGCCTCGCTGCAGGGTAACTTCGAGGCCTTGGCCGACATGATCGAGGAGCCGGGAAGCAACAAGACGGTGGCCACCTACCAGGCGGGAGCGGGAGCCAAGCCCTCGCGGGTGACCACGCGTAAGCCCGTGAGAGTGGCCAGCACCGCCAGACCTAAGGTTACAACCAAGAAACCAGTGACTCGGGTTTCCACCAAGGCTCCCAACAAGAAGACCTCCGCGACAAGCACCACCACCAAGAAGCCAGTGAACCGACGCACCACTGTGGCCACCGCTGTCACCACAAGGAAACCGGCGACTAAGAAGCCAACCCGCAGGGTTAGCAGCACCATAAAGACCACCACGGTGAGCTCGGCTCGGCCCGCGGACGATGAAATCGTGGATGAGGAGGACGAAGAGGATGTGAACCCAAATCCCAGCGACAACGAGATCGACCAGGGCGCTACTCTGAGCTCGTACGGCGGCAGCAATGGGCGCAAGATCCGTAAGTATGAACGTAGCATGGACTAGCATGGACCCGAAACAACTGTCTTTCTCTCTCTATTTCTTGTTCTCTCACCTGCCCTTCACCTGCTCCCACCTAATCGCTAATCATGCATTTAACCAAACGCTTCCTCCATCCCTCCAACCCTGCATTTACGATTGAATCCCGAATCTAGCTCGTCGCAAGCACAAGAGGCGAAACCAGAAGAAGAAATCCACTTAGAACCCTAGAATCCCCTCCTAGCTCTAGTGGCCCCCACCCTGTCCTAGTTCCAGCCACTCCCACCCTCCCCATCCGTGTAGTTGTCCCCCCAACCGCTCCATGCTTCCCCGACTCTTATCAAACTCGACTCTCGAACACTCCCCACTCCTAACCTCGCATTTCACTCCCATCAACAGAGTGCGGTGTGCGGCCCCATGTCAAGTCGGGCCGCATCGTCGGCGGCAAGGGCTCCACCTTCGGCGCCTTTCCCTGGCAGGTGCTCGTCCGGGAGTCCACCTGGCTGGGCCTGTTCACCAAGAACAAGTGCGGCGGCGTCCTCATCACCAGCCGCTATGTCATCACAGCTGCCCATTGTCAGCCAGGGTAAGACAAGTCATAACCATGTGCTGTATGGTCTCTAATCTCTAAACTCATTCTGGTGTCCACAGTTTTCTGGCCTCTCTAGTGGCCGTGATGGGTGAGTTCGACATCTCCGGTGATCTGGAGAGCAAGCGATCCGTGACCAAGAACGTGAAGCGTGTCATAGTCCACCGGCAATACGATCCGGCCACATTTGAGAACGATCTGGCCCTGCTGGAGTTGGACAGTCCAGTGCAATTTGATACCCATATAGGTGAGTTTGGGAGTCTGAGAAAGAACTATAAATCTTAAGATGGGGATTTAAGAATATAAATAATAAATAATATCTAGTAGTTAGTTCAGTCACTAATTTCTATATATTTCCCTTGTCTCTTCCCAAGTGCCCATTTGCATGCCCAACGACTTGGCGGACTTTACGGGTCGCATGGCCACCGTCACCGGCTGGGGACGCCTCAAGTACGGCGGCGGAGTGCCCTCAGTGCTCCAAGAGGTTCAGGTAAGCAGCCATCAGACATTAATTTCCCTGGGAAAGATGAGCTAATCCAAGGCATCCTCTGATTAGGTGCCGATTATCGAGAACAGTGTCTGCCAGGAGATGTTCCACACTGCAGGCCATAACAAGAAGATTCTCACCTCCTTCCTGTGCGCAGGCTATGCCAATGGCCAGAAGGACTCCTGCGAGGTAAGAACATTAGCCTCTAATAACGAACAGAAAGTATATTTAATCCTTCTTCTTTAAAATTCCCCCAGGGTGACAGTGGCGGCCCCCTGGTGCTGCAGCGTCCCGATGGGCGCTACGAGTTGGCCGGAACCGTATCCCACGGCATCAAGTGCGCGGCGCCGTATCTGCCGGGTGTGTACATGCGGACCACCTTCTACAAGCCCTGGCTGCGCAGCATAACGGGAGTGAAATAAGATGTTGGTCTCCTCCAGCCCGTCCTCCTCCGTCTCCTGGAGACTGGCTGGCCGGAGCAGGAAGCAACAAGTGTAAATAGAACGTAGAGTTGTAAGAGTCGTGGACAGAAGCGCGAGAAGTTGGCTCAACCCGCAACCCGCAATCCAGCAATCCTCAGCCGCAAGCAACCCCTCCTCCATCCAGGCTACCATCATTCCATTAGCATAATTATATATCAACTGCAGCGAAATAAGCCGGGGATTCCCCGGCAAAAGAGCGAGATTCAAATAATTTCGGTTGCAGTCTCCGTTTTTTTGAGTACGCGTGCCTAACTTTTGTAGAGTCTGAATGAGAATTACGCTAATTGCAAGCCGTAAGCTTAAGACATATTTATTCTAGTTCTAAGCCTATTTATTTGTCTATTTATTTATTTATGTGAGACGAAACGAAACATAAGGAGGCGAAGCGAAGTGAAACGAAACGAAACGAAACGAAACGATTTGTGCGTTTGATTCAACTAAAAAAATTGTTATTTTCATAGGCAAATTGTTGTTATGTTCAAATGAAAGAGAGAGCAAATGTTTTTAGTTCAATTGAATTTACTAATTTATCGATTTATATTATTAATTTTTTATATAATTACGTTTTATGTTAATTGTTAAGCGAACGAACACAAATCGAAGCGAAAGGAGATCGAAATAAACGACATAATTATTAGTAGAAAGGAATCATGAGTTTTTCTTTGGAATAGAAAATATATTCTTAAATTCCCAAGGTTTATTGCATTTTCCATTCTTCAAGGATTCCGGTTAAGTAACTTTCACTTCCAACTTGACAGAGAGGGAGCACATTTTATGATGCCCCCTTCAATTTTGCAGAAATCAAACAAAAGCAATATATACACGGACACCATGGTGCAATTTCCGCCATCTCCCTTTACATCGCTCTGCAGGCATCCAGTGGAAATGCCACTGCACTCACCCAGAGCCACCTTCCTCACCACCCGGAATATTCAATGTGGGTTTGCCTGGCGGCCAGGGAAATTCCACTACAGCTTCCCCAGATGCCATCGTTGTTGGTAAACTGAAAACAAGGTTAACCCTCTTAGCCAACATGCACTTGCCTTTGCCTCCGCCTCCTCGCTTTGCATGTCTTGTGTCCTAGATTAAGCATTAAAGTTTGCAAAAATATTGCTGTCATAGATGTGTTTCCCAGCCCAAATGATGTTGAGGCATTTTGGTCATTTAATTTGGAATTTCTTCAAATCCATTTTCCGAATTTTGCTGATTTAAAATATTTGGCATAAAATTGGATTCCAGCAGGAAATAGCTCTAAAAATGTTGGATTTATTCAAGGCAGCAAACTTCCAAGGGCCACATTTTCATCAGTATATTGCAAGCTGGTCTAACAAATAACATCAATTTGTAACTTATATTATATGTAGAAAAATTGCTGCACAGGAAATAAAATAATAAAATATAAAATTAATAATATTAAAAGGTAAAAAAGTGGGAAAGTACTATGTTTTCAAAGTGGTTTCAATACGGTTTAAAAACCCATAAAAAAGTCTTGTAAATTATGGTACAAATTTTATGTACACCTCCTTACTTTCTATATATTTCAACATGTTTATTGTTATGTCTATTATAATATATATAAAAAATATTCTGGCCAAGTCTTTTGCCAGTGTATTTCTCTCATTGAAATGAAACGCAAATGCTCTGAGTGGTTCAAATAATTTGCATATTGAATATTCAGTACCAAGGGACTTCTGGACGCTGACAGAGTGCGGGTCTGCTGGTGCGCCACACAATCCTCATTATCCTGATGCAGAAAATATCCTCAAGGCCGGCTGGCTCTTTTCATAAACATTTTTCGGCAACGAAACTGCGTGTTTTCCCTCGTACAGATTTGCCTGCAGGACAACTACATAGTGCCTCGACCAAGGATCCCTTGTTGGTAACATTCATTCGGGCTCATTATATTTGCACTGCGGCCACAAATCTGTGAGAGTGACGTCATGGCCAGCGAATCAAAATTCAAATAAATACGAGAGTAAAGCCGCCGCAATGAAAATTGATTCCTAGGAGCTTTGGCTGCGCCACAAACACACTTAATTCATAAAAATGCGAGGGAAAGCTCCGCGGCCCGAAAGCTCCTCGGCGGCAGCTAGCCGACAGGTGTTGTTTGAGCCAAGTCAGGCAGTCAGTAGCCGACAGGACGAGCAGCCAGCAGGTATGTGCCACAGAGATCCCGATCCCCTTTCGAGTCCTTCCTTCCTCGGCGTGCGGTGAAAGTGAAAGTTTATCCGGAGACCACACACGTGAATTGATGGTGTATCTGGCAGTTCTCGGGTGCGGCAATGTGACGCAGCCCCTGCAACCGCACTCTAAGGGCATCTGCGGGCGTGTCGCAATTACCTGTGTCCAATTGCCAGTCGGAAATGGCTATCTTCGGGTCTCATAAACATTATGGGTAAAACGTGGCGGTGGTGAAGGTGGGTCGCTTGTCAAATAGACGTCGGCATTTGATCCGATTTCTCTCCGGAGTCCCGCCTTCATTTCCAGGAATAGGATGCCGTTCCGGGTAAACGTAAACCATTACCGTATAAGTGTGTAATTATAAGCTAATTTAGCAAGGGTTTTGTTCACACCCAATTTGGGCCTTTTTTCATTTCGTTGAGCATGATATTATACTGCGGTAAGTTGAGTGCCTTTCAAGCAATTACAACTTAAGTGATATCAATTACACTGGCAAAAGGGGACCAAGTTCTTGAGACATTCTTATTAACCTTTATAATTTATAAATTTAAAAAAAATGAGGAAAACAAGATGTTGGAATTTATGGAACCTAGAGAACTCTACATTTCGTTAAAACACGTTTGATATCTTAAATCAGTCAAATATATTGTAAACCCAGATTATAGAAATATTATTTCATTACAATAGTTATTTAATAATTAAATACAAAATACTCTTTAATTTTCAACAATATAATATAACTTCCAGATTGAACCAATATCTTTTAAGTACATTCAAATTTGCAATTGAGGCTACTTATTATTTATAAAACCCGGCAAAATAAACTTATTTAGCATTCAAACTAAGTAAACCCAAGCACATTATTAGTTATCAAAGTGCACATGAAGCATATTTCTTCACGCTAAAGGTCAACTTTTGTCTGCCGGCAGTTGTTGCTCAATTAAGAAACTTTTATCAACTCATCGCTTAAGCGCATCCCAACCCATCTCACCTTCTTCTAATCATTGGCAAACTTTGGCCAATTGTGTAAAATACAAAAGGGAAACTAACTAATTGCGAAACTTTCAAACGGCCCCAAAGCAATTAGCCACCTTTCAGCTGCTAACTTGGCCAGCAAGGCGAGTGGACAGAAGGCCAGAAGTTTAGCCATCATTCGCAAATAGCAGTTTGACACTTTCGTCGCGATAAGGACTTCCCTCTTTGATATGCGTCAGCGGCACTTTGGTTAATTGAGAAATGGGTCCACCCACAATGTATCAATTTCAATATCCTTACCTCTCGCCAACGGATGCGCAATTAGTCGAGATTTGATAACCGTCTCTGGATGGTTAATTGTAATTAGTGTCGTCTTCCGCGGCTGAAAAGGGACAAATCGCCTGGCAACTGGCCAGCGTTTTTGGATGATGGAAAAACAAAAAGAAAACAACAACTTTGGCAAGCCCCTCTTCTATGACGCTGAAAGCAGGAAAAAAGTAATTAAGGAAATGCTAAGGGCAGGCCAAAAAGGACTCTATCTTTGTGCCCGCTTCTACAACATTTGCCTGAGCCACCTCCAGGAGCATTAATGGAATTGCACTCCCACGCCGAAAGGCCGAATAACCGAAAGAAATTCGTGCGACAGCCGGGAAAATGTTTTCGTTTGCCTTGAGCGTGTCAACAGCCTTTCACTCGCTTACTTATTTATGGCAGAGCGGTAACAACTGTTGCCAATTGGCCATTTTTAGCAGGCGAAAGCCAGAAATTCCCACTGAACGAACGAACACTCAAGGTGAGTGAGCGGGCACTGCACCTTGTTGATAATTTAAATAACTGCGCAAATAAGTAGGCAATCATTATTTTTAACCTTTTGAAATGAGTCTATTTTTAAACCAATTTATTTTGAATTAGTTTCATCGATTTAAAGGAAGAAACTTCGAGAAATCGAACAAAAATAATGTTACAATTTCATTTCGACTCTTAGTCTGTGAATTTATAAAGGAAAAGCTAAGAAAATATATACTACAAAATTTATACAAGAAAAGAAATAATTTCAAGTGCAGAAATTACCATAAATATGTTGCTGAGCAAGCTTATTTTTGACTTGCTAAACACACAGGTGATTAAAAAACATGTTGAAGCTTTAAATTCATTTGCTAGAAGCCTTTTTGCTTGAATTATTTTTATTACCTTTCCTAGGGGAAGTTATTATGAAATTCAAATGAAAGGAAAACTTCCCTTTGAGTTTTTTTCAATCCCCCAGGGCAGAAAAACAACTTGGTTGTTTTATTTTTACTTGCGTATATTAATTCACTTAGAAAGGCATCGTTTCTTTTGAGTTAAACAGTTTTTTTTCTTAATTCTACCTTTTACACTCGCAACTGTAATCATAGTTGGTCCCACATGGCGTATGCTTAATTTCCCTGAAATTGCTGTCTTTTTTTATTAGCTATATATTCTCGGCTTAATTGGGTTTTTCGGTCAATAATCGTTTGGCCTTTAAATTTGGCAAATAAGCGAAACGGCTATAACTTGACATATGAACTGTTAACCACGGCCAACATGTGGCCACAACGATTTATGTGTGCGTCTTCCATCCGGCCATAAAACGGTGTACCGGGACCGAGCTGAGCTGGAGACTGGGAATACATAAATTAGGGCACAGCCGGTAATAACACTAAAGGCAAGCCGACAATTTTAATGAGCTGTTGCCTCCGCCTGATAGGCGGGGCATTGCCAGGAGCAGCTACAGAATGGCTATGAATCGCTGCCACATTCTGGCGCTCCATTCGAGCGCATGTTCACGGAAATTCGCTCATCCCGGAGGGCAGCAATTGACTACCGGACAAGCATATGTTTTAATTAAGCGTATACTCCTCTCGCCCTTCATTTTCACAGTTTCACCGGGAGACGGCAGGTAACAGGCAACGGGCAATTTCACTGGCAATGACGTACTAAAGCGACTGCAATGAGCAACATTCCGAGGTGGGCAGCCCTGCTGCTCCTCCTCGGCCTAGCCCAGCAGCTGGACCCCTCGCTGGCCACAGGTGCCTCCTCGTTTGCCTCCGGTAATGCCTGGCAGCGTGGGCTGTTTGGGCGCGATTCCCGTAACATGATGCACCGCCGAGCCCCGTTTTCCTCCGCCGGAGATGGTGGCCTCAATGATTACCTCTCACCGTTTGGCGCCATGGAGCAGGAGCAGAGGGAACTGAGGGAGCAGCATCAACCGCTCCCGCAGCCGCAGCAGGTGAGTGTGGGTGGCAGCAAGTGGCAGTAATCGAAAGTAATTGCAGGGGGAATCAGTAGGGCGTGCAGCCGAGATTGATACAGATTGGATGCAGCTGGAAAATAATTAGTTTTCCTTTTGCATTATGGGGATGATCAAAGAAGCCGGAATAATTCTTGGTAATAAGTTGTCACTTTAAGAACGAATTTATCCTGTATTTAGGATGCAGGTTATGAATTCCAGTTTTTTTTTAGCACTTCTAATAAATTGTTTAAAATTAAAAGAATTTTAAATATATAAACTTACCCAATTTAGTTACCCCTTGTCCTCGGAATGACCTTTAAAAGGTACATAATATGAATTTCATGTATATTTTTTCAATAGGTTTAAACCCAGTTTAATATCCCGCGTATTCCCTGAACCCCCGAAAAACATTTTCGGCAATAAAAACAAGCAGTTTGGTAAGACATTACCAAGTAGCCGTAAAATAACACGATTTACCATTAAATAAAGTGAATATGAACCGTGCTTTCAAATATTTGCATATGCTTTTCAGATAAGCCTCATATTATTTTAATGCTTGGGGTTATTTGAGTTAGAAATACATTCAAAATGATTTCCTCTGCCTTCTTAACTGAACATCACACGTGGCGTGAACCTACACCAGTGCGTATACGCAATGTTGCCACCGCACAAATAGCCATAGGCATTTGGCTCAATGTTTCGCAGCAAATTGAAATTGGAGCCAACGATTCTCGGCATGCTTTTATTTGCCCCCCTTTTGGCTCGGTGTTGGCAATCAACAGCCAAAGTTCAGGGTTCACGGCGATGCTCAAATTAATTAACGCACGACAAGTGTCAGCATTATTGATAACTGCAGCAGTCATCGCAAAAGGCAGAGGCCGGCGTTAATATATCGCATACGCACCGCATGACGGCAGGTCGGAACAAATGCTTCTCTAATTGCCACCGCTTTTTCCCTACCATCGCAACCATAGCTGCGCCAGCAGACCGAGGTCTATGGAATTGTCGAGCCGCTGATTGAGGACACGCCCTGCGCGGACCGCGCCTGTCTGCTCAACGACGACTGCTGTCCCTCCGGGGTCTGCGTCAACACATATGGCGGTAAGTTGGCCTAATTGTACTTTCCATTCGTTCCCACATGCTACAAGTCCACAAAAATATGAATATGTATTTAATTTTATGAGAAATTCATATTCTTTATAAGTAAACGTTAACAGAATTTTTATACCCTTGCAGGGTATTATAATTTCAGTCAGAAGTTTGCAACGCAGTGAAGGAGACGTTTCCGACCCTATAAAGTATATATATTCTTGATCAGCATCAACAGCCGAGTCGATCTAGCCATGTCCGTCTGTCCGTCTGTCCGTCTGTCCGTCTGTCCGTTTCTACGCAAACTAGTCCCTCAGTTTTAAAGCTATCTGAATGAAACTTTGCATATAGTCTTCTATATACTCTCACTGCTATATATGTCGGAACGCGCCGGATCGGACGACTATATCATATAGCTGCCATACAAATGTTCGATAAATTTTTAGAAAAAACATTATAACTTTGCTGTTTTTCAATATTTTTTTTTTTGGCCGTTTTTAGATATGGCCGTTTTATATTATTTTTGAATTTTGGTAAAAATTTTATGAAAATCGGACGACTATATGATATAGCTGCCATAGGAACGATCGAGAAATAAATAGGAAAACAATTATAGCTTCGTTGTTTTTCAACGTATGTTTATCTACTCTGATATATAAGCTTTTTTTATTATTCTAGAATTTTGGTATAAATTTCATAAAAATCGGGCAACTATATCATATAGCTGCCATAGAAGCGATCGGTAAATGTATAAACTGTAAACTGTTACTGTCAAACTGTAAACATAATAAGTATAGGTAAAATTTAATGAAACTCTTTTTTGTGAGTGTTTTCAGCATTTAAATCTATACTATGAACATCAAAACCAATCTGCAAGGGTATACAAACTTCGGCGTGCCGAAGTTAGCTTCCTTTCTTGTTTTTTCTTAAAACCTTTATTATTCAGAGGAAAAGTACTAAGTGCACTTGACTTATTTTCCAGAGGGGAAATGCGTTTATGTGTTTGGAAGGCAGCGAGATTTATGCCAGCGCCACTCGGACTGTCCGCAGGGCAGTGCCTGCATGCTGGTGGCCCAGGAGGGCATCTGGCGTTGCGAGATGGAACCGGAGGCGGGGGCGCCCTCATCCCTGCTGGAGGACATATTCGGGATGAGGCAGAAGCAGCCATTGGGCAGCGAGTGCAGCAGCAGCAGCGACTGCCAGGTGATCAAGTAGGTATTGTGTTCTAAAGTCCTTGAATAATCCCATTCATGGCCTTCCTTGCAGTGGCATGTGCTGCCAGCAGCAGAGGTTGCACCACCGGGGCACCATCAAGCTGAGCTGTGGCTACTTTCGCGATGCCTTCGACTGTGTGGATATGGTCGGATTAGAGGTTAGTCAAAATATAACATAAAAAAAATTTAAATAAACTATTAAAGTTCCCTGCAGCAGTACCATCGCAATTAAGGGCCGCACCGCAGTTCCAAAAATGAAAGCGACAAACGAATCCAAACCGGAAATGAGCCAGCTAAACGATTGAAATAGGGATATCTGAGCCGATGTGTGAGCGTTTCCGGTGGAATTATTACAATATTGCAAACATATCATATTGTTAAACGAATACATATCAATCTTAAAGTTGCTGTAGCCTAGAGCAATCGGATTTAAATAATCAGCATATGAATACTTATTCGCGTACAAAGTTTACTTACTCAAACGAACTTAGATATCTAAATGTGTTTTTAGTAGAAACTCCAAATATACTGACTGAGGCATTCAATGTTATTAACTGCAAGACGCGTTACCCAATGATTCTTTACCATATTCAAGCAACAATTATATCGTTTCCACGTCTAAATGTAAATCGAATACAATAAATGAACATAGCAAAGAGCTGTATATTATTTTTGAACTCATTACAACAGCCACCTGTTGCTCCATGAATTCTACAGAGGCAAAGGCAAAGGTATCCAGGATAATATTTAAATAAAAGCTTTTCCCCCTCGTGAATGGGCAATCAAATATGCAAGGCACACAGGCCATACGCACAAATACATATATTAAATTAGATTTTGCAACTTGTGTGATTTGAAAAACACTCAAGGAACCCCAAGCCTGAGGTGAAATAAATTATCTTTCAAGAAAGTCCGAGGCCTTGTAAATTGAATTTCATTTCAGCATGAAGAATATTTAAAATGGGATCGCAGATACAGTGAATGATGCTTCTTACTCGTCTCTAAATTCCCAAATAAATAAAAACCACTGTATTATTTTTACAAATATTTTCGGTTGGTTTCATATTTGTATTTTTATTTAAAGTGCCAGTAAAAACGCAGCTTAAAGCTAAAAGTTAGACTCTGTTTACACTTTTAACGCTTTTGTTTTTAACATTACACCCATGTAAATCATTCCTCTCTCTCTCTCTCTCTCTCTCTAGCATTCCTTTCCACTCGGTCTGCCTAAATATCTCTCAATGATCCAATTCAATCCTTTTTTTTACGATTAATACACATTACAAAAGTGTGCTCGCTTGAGACATTTTACGCTTACTTGAGCCTAACACAAAGTTCATCGTTTTAGTTCAATAAATCTTGGAAATTTACGAACCGAAATATGTTTTTGCCAGCAAAATAGGATTTATTTTTTTTTGTAAAATTAATTTTTTTTCATGTTTTTGCGCATTGTTCAAGTCTTTTCCTTTTTTTTTTTTGTGTTTTTTTCGATTTTAATTGAATCCTAAACTCAGTTCAAAGTAAGTTGGTTTTTTGGTTTGGATCAAGGGCTAGGGCTATGGGTTATAGGAAATACCCCATAAGGGAGGTTTCTTTTAGGGGCTTTATGTCTTATAAACAACTTTCGACTTAAACTTAGCTTGGAACACAATCAAACATTTATCGATTTTCGTGTTTGACTCGCACCCACGGACCGCACAGACTATTTACAGATTTTACAATTACAGGAATAGTTTCAAAAACTAAATATACGTACGCATGTGAATATAGCTAACAAAAAAATTAGTTTAGATTTTTGTTTCCCAAAGAAATCGCACAGGTAATGATTAACTTCGGTAAGACTAAATTAAAATAGGAAAATAAATTTCGCAGGCCGAAAGGTAACAATATGCTCTATGTATAGTAGCTAAAATTGATTCATAATCCTAATTACAATCTGGCATGCACTGATCATACAAACGCTTACTCGTGTAGCTTACATCGAAATGATTAAAATGTTAATTAATGTTTACTTTAATCTCTCAGCTGGCGTGTGTGTGTGTGTGTGTGTGTGTGTGTGTTGGGGAAATGTGTGTGTGTTATGTGGAAGCTACTATTGCATTCTGGTTGTGGTTTCTGTATGCAGGTATACCTTGACAATGGACTCATTTAGCTTTATGGCATTTGATGTGACAAATTAATTAACTCACTGAGCTGTGTGTTGTGTGTATTGTGTGTGTGTTTACCGACTTAAATTAGTTGTTTCGGTGTTTGTTCTTGAAACATTGAGTTTCTTGGAATTTACAAACGAAGCAAATATAGTTTACAATTCATATATAAATATCTTGGTAATAATCTTAGTTTTGTTTAATTTGCTTTGTTTTAACGACTAAAATAAAATAGGAAGAACAAGCTTTGGTTATAAAAGAACAAGAAACAAATCATTGTGAAGGACAGGTGAAGTGAATGTTAAATGCGAAATGCGAACAGATGAAATAACAAAAAATAATAGGCATGTATGATGAAGATGAGAAATGGTTGAGAGTTCTGATGTAGACATTTTTAAAATAGTTTCAACTTAGGTTAACAAAGAGTAAGCTCTGCTCAATCGCTATACGTATGGGTGTACACTTAGGGGCAAAGTGCTCGATATACATAAATTAAGCTTAGGGAGGCACAGCAGCAGCAAAAGCGGCATGGGCTTGGCAAGCTGCACGCAAGCGGGCGGCGCACCAAATTGAATATTTTAATTTTTAATTACTTTTTACTTTATTTTACTTTACGATTTCCTGAGTGTTTTGTTGGTTTTTAGAGCTACAATTTCTCAAATCTCTTTTCAGATGTTCTTGGTTGTGGCTGTATTTTATTTTTCTCTTTTTTTTGGGCTTGGTTTTCACTGCTTTCCACTGCTGCTCAGTCTTGACAAAGTCTTACTGTATTTCTCGTTTTGTATTTATCGTTTCGTTTCGTTTACTGGAACAGGATTTATAAAAAATATATATAGAGTGTTTTTATAAAATGTTTGCTTGATGGCGTATAACTATGCCCTAATTGGTAGCTTTAATGGCAGTGCGGCAGTTTCCTTTGGTGCGCCGCCCTGCTCACGCTGCCCGGAAACGAGCGAATCTCGGGGGAAATGTCAACGAAGGTTATGTACAATAGTTCAGGACGCGAAACTAATAACAAAGCAAAGCGTGGGAAACGTTAAGGATGAGTTAGCACTTAATATTTACAAATTTCTTTGTATTTCTGGAACTGCTTCGCAGGCGCTGCCAGGACATATAAGGTAACACGGGGCCAGGTTACAGGTTACTAATGTACGCTTCCTTCCGATCCTCCTCGCCAAACTAGACCCACAATCAGTTCTTGACCTTGTCCTCCACACTAATGCTGGCCAGTGTCTTTTTGATGCGCAGCGCAGTTAGGCGGGCCACGGGATTGGGGTACCAGCACTCCTTCATCACCTTGGCCATGTTGTGGAGCACGTCGGAGGCGTGCCAGCGATTCGGAATATTCGGGCGGCTCTTTTCAATGCACACGACCTGTAAGGGAGTCACAAATGTATCCAGAGGCCTTTCAACAGCTTCCAAGGCTTACCTTTTTCATCTCCTCAATGCTGGGATCCGGCTGCACGGCGTCGTAGTAGGGCAATTGGTACTCATCGTAGATCATGCCCATGTTGCAGCGACGTGCAATCTCCCAGAGTATTAAGCCGAAGGCGTACACATCCGCCCGCTTGTACGAATCAAAGTGCTGGGCATTCATGCTCTCGTCCAGCACCTCGGGTGCCATGTATCGCTTAGTGCCCACACGATGCGTCGAGGGTATGTCCACCGAGTCATCTTTTTCAACATGCCGCACGGCCAGACCCAAATCGCCAATGGCACAGCTCAGGTTCGACTTGACCAGTATGTTCTTGGACTTGAGATCGCGATGGGCAATGGCCGGCTTGCCGCGCGTGCCCACAATATCCATGTGCAGATGGGCCAGACCCGTGGCAATGCTCAGCGACATGTTCAGCATGGTGTTGGTGTCCACCGTGTGCGTGGTCAAATAGTCAAAGAGCGATCCGTTCTCATGGTAATCGGTAACAAGCCACAGCTGGGTCCAGGTTCCGTTGTCTGTGGAGGTAAAATTCAATAAGAAGCATTAGTATTTAGGAAATGTCTTTAAAGACAGAATGATTGGCTCACCCTTGTTGTCCGCCGCTATGAAGCCCAGAATGTTCTCGTGCCGAAGCATTACGGTCTGATAGATTTCCGCCTCGCGGAACCAGGAGCACTCCTCTCGACTGGAGAAGATCTTAACCGCCACGTTCTCACCGCGCCAGCGTCCACGCCAGACCTCGCCGAAGCGTCCCTTTCCGATCACATGGCACAGCTGCACCTGACGTGCAATGGAACGCTGCACCAGCAGAGGCAGGCCAGCTGAAAGGAAGCACAAGGAATTAGCTTCTGTAAGAAGGATCTAGGCGGGATTTACCCCGCCATGGAACTCACCCGAACCCGAACCGGATGTCGTCATCTCGATAATGTCGTGTATGGTTGTGTTCCCATTCAGTATGGGATCGTACACCGAATCCTCCTTGGCAAACGGCCTGCCGCTGGCCAAGCGCTTGCGGCGTTGACAATAGTACCAGGAGCTAGTGCCCGAGACACAGATGAAGAGTGTGACGCCCACGATGATGCCCACCAGCTCCCAGCTGCTCAGGTGGCGGGAGGGCATAAGATCTGGCAGAGTCGAACAGAAAGATCATTAGTATTTGGGCCAGCAAAGGAAACTCCATTGAGATGTGCGAGAATTAATGGAAAATAAATACAAAGAGTATGCATAATGCTAGTCATTAAGTAAATAGCGTTAACAGGTAAATGTGCGTGATAACAGGTAGAAAACAATGTGCAAAACAAAACGAAACAATTCCGAAAACCAAAAGCACATTCCACACACATGGTTAGCGGGATTAGTACAACTTAAATGTAATAATTTATGTACAAAAAACCGCACTGACCTGCACATAATTATTTGGAGTTATTTACAAACCTTGGCATAGAACGACACGAGCTTAAAAACTACTTCTAAACTACGAAATAATGTAAAAAATACGAGAGCGAGAAAGGGGGATATTCCCTTTGTGTACTTTTTTGACTGTTTCACAGAGAAACAAAACGAACCAAATCCAAACCCAATTCCGAACAGAGATATGCCGCAGACGAACAAACTCATACATACACGTACAAACCTCCCACTGAACAAACACAAAAGTGCAATGGAAATGAGCGAACCACTACGAAAAACAATATGAGCAACTTCGCTGAATCGAAACCCAAATGCCCTCACAGAAGTTAAAGAAAATTTAATTAAGATCAAGAGGTTCTACAGAAATATCTAGGGATTTGAAATTACTAAATAATGTGTCTATAATGAGGCTTAAAAAATCTCTGTAGCACCCCCAATGCCTGAATTCAAAATCCCACTAAACGGGGCCTAAGAGTATGCAATATTCTAAAAATATTCCTAGGGGAATATGAAGAATAACTCATTGACGGATTTTCAAATGAAAGTTAAGTTAATTTTGTATATGATAAAGAGTTTACGTATAAATAACTGGGTATCTAAGAAATGTCCGCTAAATAAATCCTAAAATATGTAAATGTACCCAAAAATGATATTATTTTAAATATTATTCAAGTCTCGGTAACAACATGTGGCCTAATCTAACTTCTGTGAGGGCAATAAGTATGAAAAAGCGGCAGACGGCCAGGCAAAAATGCGGCCATTAATGAATGAAATGAGAGAACGTTGACTGCGACTGCTGCAACTGCAACAGCAGCTTTGGCAGCGGCAGTGCACATGAATGAATGGCGAAACTGCATAAACACAAAAAGGGCAGACACAGATACACACTCACACACAGACTATTAAGGGGAGTGGGCGAATGAAGGGGCTGGAGTGGGGCCAACAAAGGCACCCCCTCGTCTCCTTGGACCTGTGTGGTTGCTGCTGCCGGCGGCGGCGGCCCTTGAGACAGGTTTGTTGTTGCCACGCTGAATGCCTTGCTTACTTCCTTCTCAAATGCGTTTTAACAAGTCAATGCGATGACGACGATGATGACTCAAAAGGTCAGGTCAGTAGACAAGCCCACAAAACGATGCAGCAACGCTTAGAAGTTGACAGGTGAAAGGTGGCGTTGGTGGGTTGGTGGGTTGGCGGGCCAGCAGACGAGGCCACAGACAAGGTAACAATGCAGTGCGTGTGTAATACACATGAGATGTGCCAAAGAAAAGTCGACGTACAAACAAGGGAAAAACAACGAAATATTATGAGCGTAATTTATATATAGTCCTGTTCCCGAATTCATTATCAGAGTATTTGGCAACCTAAACTTTTTTAATTACATTGAAATTTAATACATTCAACATTAATTCTTTCGTAGAATTTTCACTTTATTTATTATATAAAACCAATACTAAAGGCTTTCAACACCAAAGAATTCTAAGAATAGTATTAATACAACAATTTTCTGGCATTTATTCTTAAAAAATTAATTTAAAAAAATTTAAATTTTAACTGCAATAATTTATATTAAACCTCCAAAGAAATAGAACTCGGAAACAGGCCATATTCTTCTCTTACACCTATTCTCCCCTCTCGAAGGACGAACAAGGACGTGGACGTGGACGAGCGAAGGGGGCTGTGGCTGGGGGACAGGTGGGCGCTGAAAGCGTGGGTGTGTGTGCAAATGTGTGTGTGTCGGCCAGGTACATATGCTTATGCGTATATATATGCAAATATTTCTTTCTTGTATGATTTCAATGTGTTACAAATTTGAGTATACCAAGGAGAAAAAAAAAGACAAAAAACTACGCAAATGAGGTGGTGCAATGGCATGGGCGTGGCTGCGCTTCGATGGCTGGTGGTGGGATATATTTTTTGTGTTTTTTGAGGTGGTTTCTGGTGCATTGCTGATCTCACCTGGTAGGACACCACTGTAATTCTCACGCGTATTGCACATATCTGTGTTGCAGCACTTTGTGGCGGCTGTCAGCGAATTGACTTTGCACGAGGTCGGATCTTCGGGTGGCAAGTGGCCTGCGTGCAGGCATCTACATACATAATATTTAGTTGGGGTTTGCGTTTAACTACTTTGTTGCTTTAGCTGGTGTTTGGTTTTAGTACTACATCTAAGTTAGGTTCTAGGATTTTGGGTTTATTGGGGGGTTAAGATTAGCACTTGGAATTGTTCTTGTTGCTGTTGTTGTTTGTTGCGGTGGTGTGCAGTTGTTGCGAAGCAGCTTTTGTTACCACTTACAAGCTACAAATTTAGCGAATTTTTAGCCAGGAGAGCCAGGGAGCAGTAAGGGGTGGGGGCCAGGTGGTGGATAGATTTTCAGCTGCAGCAGGTGGATTCCATTGTGTTTTCAGTGCGGACGCAATAAGCAAAGTCTGTGGGGTATCACAAAACCCGGGAGAATGCGGGGGGAAACCATTGCCAAATGCGGGGGAGGTGGGATATATATTTCTATGCCAGGTAATCAGGTCAGTTCCCTATTTAACTTTCGAGGACTTTCAGGGCTAATTGGGTAATATAAACCAAGGATACACAATATTCTCTGCCAGATCTAAATAGTCGCCAAGGTACTTTGAGACAGATAGAGCACACTTTCAGTCCGATACCTTGCCATATTGATAGTGATGGTGGAAAAACTTGCAGAAAATGCAAATTCCCACAACAAAACCGAGCAAAAGACCTTGCCAGAGGGGAAAATCGAATAATTAACGCACCTTAAGTGGAAAGATATAAGTACATATAAGTATCTACAAACTACAAACATTCGATTTGACTTTGCCAAGATACTTGGGCATGCATAGAGTTACGTGTAATTTATTAGGATAAGGTGTAAGCTTGATATCCCGTAGAAGATCTAGGGCGTGTGTGTATGTTGTGTGTTCCACAGGGAAAGCAAATAGTAAAGTAAGGAAACAAAAAGGGGAGGAGTACAGGAGGAGGCCCGAAAAGCGAATAAAAAAGTGCAAATAGTTAAGGTAAATAGTAAACTCTGAGCCTATACGAAATATAAATAAAAACAGACTAGTCTAAACCAAAAAACAAAGTATATTATTACAGATTATTTGATTTTAAATTATTGTTTTTTTTATTGCAGATGCAGTGCATATAATTAGGCAGAGTGTTTGGTTGTTTAGAGAAATAGAAGTGCAAACTAAGGAGAGAAATTGTATTGTTGTGTGTTTGGTTTTTGTTACTTGAATGTTGCTGTACCTTTTTCAAATAGCCTCTTCATTATCTCATTCTTATTGCAGAAGTCATTCTTACAACACTCAATCCTATACGTATCGTACTTGAGGCTACTGGTGAGGCACTCGAAGGGAATACGCCGCATATCGTATTTCATTTCCATGCATCTATTTGCAATCGTTTTCAATACATTTTTCGAGTTTACGGGGCCGCGAGGGGGAGCGAAGGAGAGGGCGGTTGGTGGGGCGGGGGAGAGAGAGAAAACATAACAATAAAAACACAAATTAGTATTGCTTGGCATTGGTTGTTGGTTGGTTTTTGCTGCTGCTGCTTCTGCCGATGCTGCGGCCGCTGTGTTTGCCGGACGGCGTGTGTCTTTCGGCTTGTGTTGCTAATTGAGATTTCAGTCTGGTTAGTAGCAATAAAAGTATTATAATTATATTTAAAACGAATTATAAAACGCCGCTCTGGTTCTCAGAAGGTATATTCATTAGTAGTGCTCTGCATTTGCGGGTTACGATCATTTCAAAACTTCAACTCAACGGGCAAAACTGGGTGGAAAGCAGTCCAAGGAACGATCAAACTGGGCAACTCTTTTGTTTGTTTTTGCTGTTTGCGAACGACGTGCGTGAGAACAGGGGGACAGAGGTGTAGTTGGGAGTCACGAGTCAGAGAGAAAGGATTTTTTTGGAGGAGCGAAACACGTGCAGAAGCGCACGCACCTTCGACAGTCACCGACGCCAGCCGCCCGTCCTCGAACTCGATGTGCGAGGGATTCAGCCTGGTCGGCTTGATCCTCTTGATCAGGGGCCGCAGATCCCGATTGCAGAAGTCGCGGTCGTTGCAGCAGGCGTGTCCGCCACGCCGGGCCACCGGACGGGCGGTGGGTCCGCCATTCCTGCCCTCATTGCACCAGATGAAGCGGCCCGGCGGAAAGCTCTGCGACATGTTTAGGCATCTGCAGATCGCCGCAGACCATAAAGACACACATCACATTCACAGGTGCTGCTAACTCTCGGGGGAAAGTGCTAACCTACGCCACGGGGGCGGAACTCACCTGAAACTGAAGAGTATGGTGTCATCCGGATTCTTCTCCACCGACGTGAAGCAGAAGCCATCCGTCTCGCATATGTAGTTTGTTTCCTTGCATATGTCGCAGTGGCACTTGATAAGTACTAAGGATCACAGAGAAAGAGGAAAGGTTTGGATTAAGATTAAGCAACTTATGAGAAGCTAACATTTTTATACCCTTGCAGGGTATTATAATTTCAGTCAGAAGTTTGCAACGCAGTGAAGGAGACGTTTCCGACCCTATAAAGTATATATATTCTTGATCAGCATAAACAGCCGAGTCGATCTAGTCCGTCTGTCCGTCTGTCTGTCTGTCCGTCTGTCTGTCTGTCCGTCTGTCCGTCTGTCCGTCTGTCTGTCTGTCCGTCTGTCTGTTTCTACGCAAACTAGTCCCTCAGTTTTAAAGCTATCTGAATGAAACTTTGCGTATAGTCTTCTATATGCTCTCACTGCTATATATGTCGCAAAGGGCCGGATCGGACGACTATATCATATAGCTGCAATACAAATGTTCGATATATTTGTAGAAAAAAAATTAGAACTTTGATGTTTTTCAACATTTTTGCACCATTTTTTAGATATGGCCATTCTATATTATTTTAGAATTTTGGTATAAATTTTATCAAAATCGGACGACTATATGATATAGCTGCCATAGGAACGATCGAGAAATAAATAGGAAAAAAAATTATAGTTTCGTTGTTTTTCAACGTATGTTTATCTACTCTAAGGTATAAGCTTTTTTTATTATTCTAGAATTATGGTATAAATTTCATAAAAATCGGACAACTATATCATATAGCTGCCATATAAACCGATCGGTAGATGTAGAGAAAATGTAAAACTGGGAATGTAAAACTGTAACTGTCAAACTGTAAACATAATAAGTATAGGTAAAATGTAATGAAACTCTGTTTTGTGAGTGTTTTCAGCATTTAAATCTATAATATAAACATAGAAACCAATCTGCAAGGGTATACAAACTTCGGCGTGCCGAAGTTAGCTTCCTTTCTTGTTTAATGATTAAATTATTAAGATTTTATTGACTTATCGAAATATGTATGTCTAATGACAATTATTACATTTTTTGATCATCAGAAGACCTTAAAAATATACACCTTACTTGAGCTTTAAATCTATATTTTTCACAAGATATATTATACACACATACATACATGCTTGCATAAAACATTTTGCTCGATTTTAAAGTTTACCTCTATTTATTATACCCTTGCAGGGTATTATAATTTCAGTCAGAAGTTTGCAACGCAGTGAAGGAGACGTTTCCGACCCTATAAAGTATATATATTCTTGATCAGCATCAACAGCCGAGTCGATCTAGCCATGTCCGTCTGTCCGTCTGTCCGTCCGTCTGTCCGTTTCTACGCAAACTAGTCCCTCAGTTTTAAAGCTATCTGAATGAAACTTTGCATAGAGTCTTCTATATACTCTCACTGCTATATATGTCGGAACGGGCCGGATCGGACGACTATATCATATAGCTCCCATATAAATGTTCGATAAATTTTTAGAAAAAAAATTATAACTTGGCTGTTTTTCAATATTTTTGCATCATTTTTATATATATTATTCCAGAATTTTGGTAAAAATTTTATGAAAATCGGACGACTTTATCTTATAGCTGCTATAGGAACGATCGGAAAATGAATAGGAAATAAATTAAAACTTCGTTGTTTTTCAACATATTCTTATCTACTTTTAGATATAAGCTTCTTTTATTATTTCAGAATTTTGTTAAAAATTTTATAAAAATCGGACAACTATATCATATAGCTGCCATATAAACGATCTGTAAATGTGGAGAAAATGTAAAGCTTTGAATGTAAAACTGTAACTGTCAAACTGCAAACATAATAAGTATAGGTAAAATGTAATGAAACTCTGTTTTGTGAGTGTTTTCAGCATTTAAATTTATAATATAAAAATCAAAACCAATCTGCAAGGGTATACAAACTTCGGTGTGCCGAAGTTAGCTTCTTTTCTTGTTTTTGTTTAAATTATATCAAATACTGTAAACATTATGATTTTATACTTAAGGGGGGATATACATGTAAGCGGTCAAAATTTGGCCATTTTTCGTGAATTTTTTTTTATAAGAAATAGTCAAGCAATCGTCGTGAAACTTTGGATATAGTTAAAAGTAGAATCAGAGATGATAAAAAAAATTAGTTATAAACAATATTTTACAAAATGGCGGACTTATGGAACATATGCCGTAGCGCCTCGAGCTTTGATTTGCCGTGCTATGGACACGATAGAGCTCGTAATTCCAGTCCGAAATCCGTAAACTAAATTTTTTTGTATTCATTACACCTTTATCTTCTATTTGAACCTAAAAAACCAAAAAGAAATCAAGACAAAAAAAATAAATTTTGATGTCAAGGAAAAAATGCCATTTTCAGGTGATCAGTTTTCACTTCCCACCCTCTTAAAAAATAGTAATACTCAGTTTTATAACAACCATGTAGGTTCAAATAGAAGATAATTTCATGCTGATTATAACAATTTTTGATTCACTCCGATATGTTACATAGTTTTTTGTGAATCGTGTCCAGAGCATAGGTAGAAATGCAAAAATTAGAAGCTGAGAAAAAGACGTTTAAAGTTTTTGATGCGCCCACGTTAACACTTGTGAACCTTGCGTGCATACTTGATTTGAGGCACTTAGAGTTGGAATTCGATAATGAAACTTACACACTATATTCTTTAAATAATAAACTATTTTTTAAACCAAAAAAAAAATTTGCCCAACAAATTTTGGTTTACATGTACAGTGGTGCTCATAGACTTAAGCCACAAGACTTCATCCAAGAATTTTAACGAAAATTAAGAAAAGTTTTTATTCCACAGCTCCAATTATTTGTGTCACATTAGTTCTATATATCAGTGTTCTAATAAAAGAATAACCAAGTTATAAAAATATATATTCAACGAAAAATTAAAAAAATCTGAGACCAACCCCAAAATGTCCTGCTCACATACTTAAGCCACCTGGAAGAAAATGATCCAAAAAGTTAAAATTTGGCCAATATTCCTTATAATTTTAATAAATTTAGTTTAATATTAAGTGGGATGACCTTTCTGATTAAGAACAGCGGAGCAACGCTTTGGCATTAAGCCCACAAGACGTGCGCACTGATGAGGGGTGATTTTCTTCAACTCTTCCTGCAAAATATGCCAAAATCGTTTTTTTTGCTGTTTTTTTGGCCAACGACTTGTTTAAGAATACCCCACAAGTTCTCTATAGGGTTCAAGTCGGGGATCTGCGGTAGCCATTGCAAAACATTGATTGTCTCTTGGCTAAGCCACGACTTGACTATCTTGCTGGTGTGTTTCGGGTCGTTGTCCTGTTGAAATATCCAGGCAAGTGGCAAATTATCGGCATATTCTCCAGATAAATTGTTAATAAGGATGTCCCTGTACATTTCGCCGTTCATAATGCCTTCTATCTTCTTTTGGAGACCTACGCCCGATGCGGTGAAACAGCCCCAGACCATAATCGAAGCGCCACCATGCTTAACGATCTTTTTCGTGTATGTTTGATTGTTTGGAGCGACGAATCCAAGTTTAATGTCTTTGGGAGTGATGGTAAACCATATGTACAACGTCCTCCCAACAAACAATTGGACCCCAAATACACGAGAAAGACCGTTAAACATGGTGGCTCTTCGATTATGGTCTGGGGCTGTTTCACCGCATCGGGCGTAGGTCTCCAAAAAGAAGATAGAAGGCATTATGAACGGCGAAATGTACAGGGACATCCTTATTAACAATTTATCTGGAGAATATGCCGATAATTTGCCACTTGCCTGGATATTTCAACAGGACAACGACCCGAAACACACCAGCAAGATAGTCAAGTCGTGGCTTAGCCAAGAGACAATCAATGTTTTGCAATGGCTACCGCAGATCCCCGACTTGAACCCTATAGAGAACTTGTGGGGTATTCTTAAACAAGTCGTTGGCCAAAAAAAACAGCAAAAAAAACGATTTTGGCATATTTTGCAGGAAGAGTTGAAGAAAATCACCCCTCATCAGTGCGCACGTCTTGTGGGCTTAATGCCAAAGCGTTGCTCCGCTGTTCTTAATCAGAAAGGTCATCCCACTTAATATTAAACTAAATTTATTAAAATTATAAGGAATATTGGCCAAATTTTAACTTTTTGGATCATTTTCTTCCAGGTGGCTTAAGTATGTGAGCAGGACATTTTGGGGTTGGTCTCAGATTTTTTTAATTTTTCGTTGAATATATATTTTTATAACTTGGTTATTCTTTTTATTAGAACACTGATATATAGAACTAATGTGACACAAATAATTGGAGCTGTGGAATAAAAAACTTTTCTTAATTTTCGTTAAAATTCTTGGTTGAAGTCTTGTGGCTTAAGTCTATGAGCACCACTGTATATCCCCCCTTAAAGCGCGCCTAAACAAATATGTTTTCCAATTATCTAGACGTCATTCAACCCCTCTTCTCAGATTCATATCCGATTGAGGCAAATCAATCAATTAGATGCTGGCAGAAATTAACTAATTAGAGAACGAAAAGCTCCATAAATCACACGCTCGCTGATTGGCATCTCCTTTGGCTGTGGCCGCAAGCGCGGATTTGCCATAACCATGCCCACGGGGCACCTGGACGAGCACATGCTCGCCCAGTAGACGGCCACATCCACATCCAAATCCACCGACACCGCCGAGAGCGTGATGAAACAAAAACAAAACCATTTAGCATTAACAAAGCAGACGCGGAGAAGACAAGTGCAAAGTGGAGGGCCAGACAATGCGACCAGTTTTCCCTTTCCCCCGGTCTCCGGCCACGGTGCTTAGGCCTGCTTTTTTTTTTTTTTTTTGCGCCGACTGCAGTTGCAAGTGCAACGAGCAAATGCATCCAGACGTGGGGGTGTCTGCTGGCAAAGCAGCGTTGGAGTGGGCCACGAGAGCTGTCTGGCTCAGCTCATTGACACCGCGCCAAGCTGACGTCACGAGATGGAAATGGAATCGAAGACGGAGAAGGCCTTTTAGGAGTATTCAGAGTCTTAGAGGTGTTACAGTCACGCGAGATACACTCAGAGCAAAATTAGGTACCAGGATTTACAAAATTGGTATTAAATAAACAAATACCTATACAACTATTACTTTACCTTCGTCGAAGGTAGATCTAATAAATATTAGATTCTATCGGTCTCCCCACTATTGCCCAAGTTACTACACTACAATATCAATTACAATAATAAGTCAATTTATCAATATACAAAAAAAAAAACTACTCAAGTTCTAATAGTTAAAAACCAAATTTGTTTAGCTTTAATCTTTTTTGGAGATTGAAATTCAAAAAAATTTTAAAATTCAATTTCAGTTAAGACTTTATCATAGCTTAGAGACTTTTAGAAAGTCTAGACTTACCTTCTGGCTTCTTGGCGCTGGGCTGTGCAACGTAGACGGGCAGCTGGGTGGCAGCGGCCGTAGCAAGCGCTCCAGGTCCGTCACCGTCTTGCGGCAGCAGCATGGCCACAGCACTGCTATTATTGTTACTATTGTTGTTGTTGTCATGGCTCCTGTTATCAGCGGACAGCGACGACGATGGCGACTGATAAGCCTGGCCAGCTGTTCCGTTCGCCGCCCTCACTGCTGGCGCCCTGGTCGGTTGCCATTTCCCATTGGCGCGAGATGCAACGGCGGGTTCGGAGGCGACCCGGGAGCCATTCTGACTAGTGTCCAGCACCCATTCGACGGGGGAGGCTGCATGGGGAGATGGATTTGGGGGGAATTTAGGTTAGTTTCGCACCTGCTTTAGAGCTTGGGGGTTTTTTCTCGTAGAGTATAGAGGGATGTGGAGAGCACAACTCACCGACGACGGCGGCGGCGGCGAGCAGAGCGCCCAGGAAGATTAGCCGGTGCACAGATAACATGTTTTGTGCGCGCATCGATAGTGCGACTCGAGCGCTGTGTGCCTATTGTTATTGTTTGCTGCTTTGGGGCTTTTCTTTTGTTTTCCACGATCGCACGCACACGCACACACATGGACATAAACAGAGCACGGCGCAAGTTCAAAGTCTGGGCCCGCCGATTTCACAGTTTTTTGCTAAAGGAGCAGCAAAGCAGGAGTTGCCGCAACAGGAGAAGGAGCAGGAAGCGTAGAAGGACCGCAGACAGCCACTAATTGGCACCGAATTGCGCATTTATCGCGTAGGACACGCGCCCGTCGATGCTCACATTTTGCGAGGGCATCTCTGCCTTGCTTTTCATATGTTTTGCAAGACTTTGCAAACGGGGAACTGCCCCACCGAAACTAGAACTAGAACTTCACTCCACTCCGCCCAATTTGGATGGAAAAACTGCTTCACATTTCACGGACGAGGCGAGGGCGACTTTTCAGGCGGATTTTCATCACGTGATTTCAGTCGGACACTCCGCGGATTTGCAATAATTTCGTATTCAGCGCGGTGGCCGGCACCTCGAGGTGTCTTGTCCGTCCGATTGTTTGTATTAATTGCCTTTATTTTATGTTAAATATACAATTTTGTGCAGCGAAAAATCCGCGTTTGTGTGTGTGGGGATGTGCAGTGTTGCCAGTTTAGCTTATTTCAGGCTAGATCTGGCATATCTGAAAATGGAAAAGCTTATAAGTTTGCAACTAGCTAATAGCCATAAAAATGGCCGAGTATTTCTTTGACGACTGTATAACTGTACACTATTGTACATATGCTATCATTATAAATCGTAAATATTTTCAGTAATTAAGTCAAGAAATACCCTGAGCCTATTTTAATATTCTTCTTATCTCTTATCCATCCATAGCTTTTTATAGCTAAACGTCGGAGCTTACGACAACGAGATATCTGGCAACGCTCTTTCCTTACGTTATGAAGATTACGATAGTCTATATCGTAAAATACCACCCACACCACAAACTTCTTTAGTTGGGAAATAACTTGTATAATATAAGGATACATGGTCAAATTTTGGTTTTGTTCTAACATAATTTTATTTCCTACAACTGCAGGTACCAGGAAAGTGCCCAGGAATCCAATCATAACAAAAATGCGGAGCGCACATCGTGAATTTCACATTGTGTTTTGGTCGGAGAGTAATTTTCTATTGCCACAATAGACTCAAGATGGTCAGGGGAGGCATGCCGGGCTCAGCTCCCTTTCTAAAGCCTGCAGAGATTGCAAAAATAAAGAATTATAACTTGTGTATATCCCACACAAATGTTGGCAAGTGCTTCTTCTTCCCAGCCGCGTGCGGGACTAAGAAAAACAAGACAGTCAACTTACCCAAATACAGGACAAAGGGCACGAATCCCCAGTGGAATGTGGTCTGCAGGGCGCCGACGACGACTCCCAGACGCTCCTTGACTCCCTCAGAAAGCTCCATTTTTGTCAATATAAGATATTTTTCCTCTACGAATTATGAAATAAAATCCAATGGAGCGACTAGAGGTGCGAGAACGTCGACTGTTGGTTTCGATGTATTTAAGCAAGGCGATAGCTCGATATTTACTGACTTTCGCAAGATGTAACTGTGAAGAAATTTGTCGATTTTATGCGGAAGTAGACTCGCAGGCTGGCCGAACGAATATGATTTAAAAAAACCGAACTGGAAACATTTAAAAGTGACAATATTTTCAATGAATAGTTTTGAAACAAAACTGATATCGATAGCTCGATAGGTTTTTTTTGTCGCTGAAAGTCTTTATGCCCATATGATACACTAATGCAGTTTTCATTAATTAGCTACTTCATTAGAACCTTGAAAGAGACCACTATATGTGTAATTTTGTGTAATTTGGCTTGAATTTTGCTTGGATTATTTTGGTAATACGACTACGGTCACACCGACCGTAAAAGGTAAACAAAACAAACGGCCGCCATTCGAGGCGTATTACTATGAATTTCTGAATTCCTCGTCGAAGTATTCTTGCATAAATAAATGCAGAATCCTTTAAATGTATGTTTTTAACCTATAATGCTTAAATTTTTTTAAATTATTACCAAAAAAAATTTTAAATTAATTTTACAGCGTAAGAACTTTGCCCTCGCAAAACATATTATTTTTTCCTAATTTTCTAATATTTTTTCAGTTCAAAAAACCAGCGAAATTATATATAAATAAAATTCTCATTGTGAGACCATACTGTCAATGAGCTGGCTAATACATTTTTCAATTACAATTTTCTTCATTAAACCCGTATTTTGTTATCGAGTATCTAGTATATTTTATGTAGATCTATCGATTATCGCGGCAATGAAGTAGCTAATGCATTATTCTAATGCATTAGAGCGCCATATAGTCGTCTTGCTCGCACTTGTGTAAAACGCTATAGCGCTGTCAAATCTTTAATGAAGTCTCTAATTAATGCGGCAGTGTCATGCCAGTATTAGTAGGACATTTGCTCACAATCGATAGTTGAATTCAGTAATATGGCGGTTTATTCAAAAAGTTAGACACATTTACTAAATTATTTCTCCGATTACATATTCTTAATCAAATGAGATTTTAATTGGCTGCATCCATTACTTGTTCCAAGATGAAACTTTGATTGCCTGAGATTTGGGAGGCGCCACTTTCTGTGTTGTAGAACAAACGGCGCTCGAAACCATCTTTGTTGATGATGCCGATGCGCACCACTCCGCCGGAACTTCCATCTCGGTAAATGGCGTGCTGGACAGCTGCGGACGATTAAGGGTTTCGGTTTTACATTCAACAAAGAGACAGTGACACCCACCCTTCTTGACAAACTCTACACAGTCCTCCTGCTCCATGTTGGGTTTATGGTGCTCTTTCACATAGCCGTAGATAAAGCTCGATCCAGAGCCTCCGATCGTGCAAGGATCGCGGGTCATCATACCGCCCAGCGGAACGCTGTACACCTGACCGCCGTTTTGCTCATCCCACCCGGCCACGATGATGCCGGCGAGCAGGGAATCGCGATAGTTGTAACAAAAGTTGCGGAACTCAGAGGCTGCCTCCAGGACAAGAGCCTCCTTGTCAGTCCGGTTCTCATGGTAGTTCAGTGAGTAGGCCACGATGTCGGCGATGCCCTGAGTGTCAGCAGCGGAGCCACTGCGGCAGCAATAGATTTTATCTGTGATGCGGGTGAGCTTGTCAGTGACTCTATTGGTCACATAGGCACCGGAACTGGTGCGGGAATCCGCTCCAATCACGACTCCTCCGTCAAACTCCACAGCCATAATGGTGGTCTGAAACGTTGGATGATTAGCCGGGGGTTACGGTAGTGCTTATTGCTCAAATACTTACGCCAGTGCTAACGGGCTTTTGGGTAAAGTCAAAGTCAAAGTCGGGATCCATTTTTAATTTACAACCTACTGTACAATTTACTATTTAATTAAATTTACTAATGTTCAAGTGACAAATTATATTTTGATGTGTGCTTCAAGGCAACTGCAGTAGTGTAAAAACGTTATTTTCTTCAATTGAAGCCTATCGGTTTTTTAAACTTCGATAGTATCGATACTAATATCGACGCGGATATCGATACTAATATCAACACGCGGAACGTTTTGTTTTGATTGCTAAAAAACATATTTTTAAGTTAAAACAAACAATAAATGGCTTATGTGGCGCTGAGCGATGCGGAGAAAACCTTCATCCTTCATGGCGTGGAGGTAAGCTACTCGGACATCCTGTAGATTCCCTTACCGATCCGTTTTTAGGAGGACTTTCGATGCGACGGACGTTCTCGGAGGGATTACCGACCCATGGAGCTGGAGACGGGACTGGTGAGCAACGCAAGTGGCTCTGCCCGCCTCCGCCTGGCCAACACAGACATCTTAGTGGGCGTAAAGACGGAGATAGAGGTGCCCGATCCGCTCACGCCGGAGTTCGGAAAGCTGGAGTTCTTCGTGGACTGGTAAGAAGATTGGAATGGCTTATGTCTAGTATATTCCTTACATCCGTACTCTGTGCAGCTCGGCCAATGCCACACCGGAATTCGAGGGACGCGGAGGCTCGGACTTAGCCCAAGAACTGGTGCTGTCCCTTCAGAACGCCTACGAATCGCCACTGGCGTTTGATTATCGCACCTTGTGCCTCATTCCGGGTCAGCAATGCTGGAAGCTCTACATAGACATATTGGTAAGGCCATTAAGTAAGCTATGATTACGTTTTGGTGACCTTAATCTTGCAGATTTTGGAGTGCGGCGGAAATCTCCACGATGCCGTTTCCCTGGCCGCCAAGGCCGCTCTTTTCAACACAAAGCTCCCACGGGTGACCGCCACTCTTCTGGACGCCGGTATCACAGACCTCATCATATCGGACAACCCGTACGACTGCACCCGCATTGGAATCGACACTGTGCCCCTCCTGGTCACAGTCTGTAAGATTGGCGACTTCTGTCTCGTGGATCCTTCAGCGGAGGAGGAGGTGTGCAGCACCGTCAGCATGGTGGTGTCCGTATCTATGCGCAATGGAGAGGCCTTCCTATCGGGCACCCACCTGACGGGCGGCGGCGCTATGCACCGAGACACCATGCGCAACTGCCTACAACTGGGCCTGTCCATTGGCGAGCACCTGGACACTTTGCTCGCTAAGATGCTAAGGCAGGAGCAGGAGCGCGTGGGACCCAAGCGACCCAAAACAGTTGGGTTCCTTAAATAAAACAGATTTTGTCTAAATGTGAAAATTTACTATTTACTCCAACAACTGAATGACTGTGAGCATGACGTTGCTCTCTTTAAAGTTAAGGCTAATCGCTATAAGCAGCGGCTGCGGGCGCCCAGCTACTGCTCTTTGCGCTTCTTCGTCTGCCTGGCGGCCGGAGCCGGCTTCTTCTCCTTGGGCTCCGGCTGCTTGCCAGTCAGCAGCGAGGTAAGCATCTCGCTGATCTCGGGCATGTCGTTGCCCATCTGCGGAGCACGGGAAAAAACGTTTTAATTTTGTCAAACGTGTATAAAAGGTTCTCTGGACTCACCTTTGGGAACTGCAGGTTGTCGATCTCCTTCTTTGTTTCGGGATCATTGATCATCTTGGGCAGCACCAGCATAAGCAGCAGGGGCAGAACCATCATCAGCACCATGGGGCTGAACAGGAAGTCGGTAATCTACACAAAGGAGTTTCGAATGATTTCTGAAACGTAATTAACGTAATGGTGACTACTAACCTTCCATTGCTCCCTAGTCTGGAAGTACTTGAAGGGCATCAGTGGCTTCATTCGCAGCGGATACGGCACCTGCATAATTTGTGCCGGCTGGACAAAGTTCACTTTGCGGGCACGGAACTTTCCCTTTGGATTGATCTCGACGCGCACCTAAAAACGGGATTACAAGGGTCAATGACGCCACCTTGATTGAGCCAATGCTTCTCGCCACTCACTGGCTCGTAGAACACGTCAGGATGGTGAACATCCAGGATATAGCTGCCGGAGGGCACTCCGCTGATCAGGAACTGGCCATCTTCGCGCACGAATCCCTTGAACTCGCCGTCGTTGATGGAAACAGTCACCTCAGTCTGCCATTTGGAGGCCTCCTTATTCACAGGCGAACCAGGACCTCTGGGAATGATGCTGTCTGGCGGCGAGACACGGCCCTCGATGGTGTACAGGCCAGAGACCTCATCTACCAGCTCGTCCTGGCCGATGACCACCTCACTGCTGCCGAGGGCTAGCAGCGCGGCAAAAACAATACATTTTAACCACATTTTCCGTCAATAAAGATTTTTTCTTGAAAAAATCATCCAATTAGAGCTGGCTCACCAACGATAGTATCGATGTTTCTAAAAAGGCGATACATCGATATATTAGTAAAGTACATTTTATTTAATCATTAAATTTTATCTGTTTTATCTAATATATTTTATTTTATTAATATTATTGAACTGTAGACTATATTTTGATATTTTTCTGTGCGACTAGTCTATACGATAGTATCGCATAATTCAATCACATGACATCTCTTGTGTCCAGTGTGACCCTTTTCTGAAGGTCGATTACCAGAGCGCCAAAGTAAAGTAAATTTAAATTATTAGTCTCATCTCTCGTGTCTATGAATAACCATGTTGTATTCTAACTTGCTTAGTTTTCATTGCGTTAGAACTTGTATTTCTTTTAATAATCCAAATAAATTAGATATTTATGGACCATGGCTTTTGAGGGTAGATATTCGTTTTAGCTCCAAGGCATGATATATACTTTATACTTGGACTAGATTTACAAAATGCTGCAACGAAAGATACAACTAGATTAGAGTTTTCTCAAAATTTAAGAACCTACATTAACTAAATAAGATATATATGTATTAGACTTTAAGAAAATAAAATCACTTAAAATTTATGTAATGATGGCTTATATGGAAGCCAAATGCTAGTCATATAAAACCTTTCTTGTTATATTTTGTTAAAATAATTATGGATGTGATCAACCACCTCATCTTTTTAATGTTTCCCGTCTCTGGAGAACTGCAGAAAACATAATTGTAGGTATATATTTTCTGAAATGGGAAAAGAGATCTTCATTGAATACTTACAATATATTAAACATTTTCTCTGGATTTTCAGAAACCCAAATCTCGCCCGCAATGGACTGAACTATCGATACCTGGCCGAGACACCTGTATTTGTGTGTTTCTCGGCTCTTTTCCGTGCTCTCGGACGACTTACTGGCTCAGTCGTTGGCGGCAATTCGTGGTGTTCGGTTTGCTAATCTTGGAGCTCCATCGGTGCCGGAGCCCATTGAACAAAACAGAAACAGAAAAAAGCTAACGCAGCTACGCGCTGATTTTCGAACGTTGTTGACGGCGATTTTAGGTTAGTGCGTGTGCCTTGACAAACGGGTTTCCAGTCTTGAGCCTGAGTTATTCGCAATGAATGGGTTCTACCTGTGCGCAGGTGTGCCAGTGCCACTCAAAAAATGCCACATGCCGTGTACAATAATATGCAATTGGCAGGCAGCAGGCTGCCGAAAGTGAAGTAAAGCTTCGGCCTGATCTGGTGTCAATGGAAGATGGGGATAAACTTGAAACATATATTCCCTAATCAGTTCATAAAAATTCCAAAGCTAATGCTTTGAGCCGCGGCGTTGTTGTTTCTTTCCACTTTAGCTATGTCGCATGTACAGTGAAACCGGTTTCAGTTCGGAATTTAATGATGCTGAGATCACAGGCCCCCCCATCCCCATTCCCCTTTCGGCTATTGCATAGATTTATTTTGTTTTTTTCGCACACACATTTCAATGGCAAGACGCAATGCAAGTCTTCTAGCACAATGGAGGTGTATATATCATTAATTAAGCAAGTTTGTAGTGAGCTGTGAGTGATGTCAAGCGTCGCGTTGCGCCTGCGCGAAGATGGTGATGTAAACAAGGCATGGTGTTATCTCGGAACGTGCCTTGGTCCCTATTCGGGATTGGGCACAGAGACACACACCCGCGGCCAAGTGTCCAGGGCCTTACGCAACTGCAACTGCATTTGCTGATAAATCAACTGTGACAGAGCCGCTTTCTACGCTCGTACCTGTAGCCATAATTAGCGACAGTTCCACAATTGTTACAGTCTCTGTTTTTGTACATTTTGCCATCTGGAGTACTTCTCCGGTCATTTCCAGCCGATCTGCGTTACGTTCCGTGATGTCATCTAATGGCGATTTTATGTGCATATTTCGAATCAATAAACGAGTCGTTAAGCAAGTCGCTTTTCTCACCACATTTTCCAAAGCTTTGCGGCGCCGAGCACACCTGCTCGTATCTCAGACAATTAATTCTTACTTAGCTGACGACGGCAGTGAACTTATTTTAAAGGAATTTTAGCAGAGCAATCAATAAATGCCAAAACATGGAGTGGATTTAATTTGGTGACCTCTATTTGAAGGTTTAACTACTTTTAACCCTAACTAATAATCCTTTATAGCTACTCCTTAAGTATATGGCATCAACTAGTAGCTGAAAGTTAATAGAAGGGCTAGGGACCAAAAAGCAATTTTCCGTCATGTTTTCCACCCATTGACTAAGCGTTAATTTACGAAGCCTTTTGACACATGCCAGTCCAGTTGATTGAGCAAATGTTGATCAATCTTTTTCCGTATGTAAAGAACCCGAACGGAACTCGACTAGAAATTATATAGAACCCACCCCAATCGGAGACCTCCTTTGGTTAATTCACTACTCATTCGGTTGGAGGAAGGGTCATCGAGCTCCTAGGATACCTGGAAAAAGGCGGCCCAACACAATGGCGGAGTGCTAACCCAGTTTACACAAGTGCTGGCACGCGATGTCCGGCCAAGATTGGCTGCAATGGCCAACTGCCACGGCAAAGGAACTATGCTGACCACCTTGACCGGATCCCCACCACCAGTCCCCCATTTGGGGTCAAAAGCCAATAGCTGCCGCTGGCGTGTGTTAAAAAATTACCAGAATTACACAGACGACACACGCCTAATGGCTGATAAAGCGGGTAAAAATACACGAAGATATAGGCTTGTTTTCTGCCAGTGATTGGGTGATAAAAACTAGGACTAACCAAAGTCAAGTCCAATCTTATCAATTTACATTGCGATTTCCAAGTATGAGCATAAACCGCGAGCCACTTGGGGAAGAACCACCTTATGCAAGCCGTGAAGTGGATGATTCGGCAGTTGGCAATCGGAGTCGTTTACCTTTTGGCTGCGATCTACATACCTTTCAAATATGGCCAACTCGAGCGGCAGCCAAACCCAGGCTTAAACGTTGATCGGAGCAATTAGAGTTGGACTGTCAAATACGTTCGAGTGGATATATTCCGTGTGTAGATACACCGACACCGACAGCATTCAAATCGCGATTATTCGTTGCTGTACGGGTTTCAAAACTGGATTTTTAACAAGGGCATGACTATGTCTATGTGTGCATATATGCATTATATATATACACAACACCATATAGCCCACACAATGAACATGTTAGAGTCAAGTGCTCGGGCTCGGGCCCACATAATGGCTCATTGTTGCTGTGGAAAAGTCGCTAATCAGTTTTGTCTCACGTTCAAAAACAAAAGCCACAAGTCCAAGTCGCATTCGGAGTCGTAGCTCCTCCATGGGGGCCAACGGCTATATGGCTGCGAAACACTTATTAATGTGCCAAGAATTTAATGGAAAGCATTTATCGTTATTGTTGTTGTGCCGCGGCGGCAGTCGGTGAAATTTTTAGGTCTTTCGGTTTTCACTTTACCTTCTGTGGAACAACCAACCGCCAGAGAAACATGTGTATGCACCTACCGATAGATAGATAGCTCCTCCGCGAAGGTCTAGGTGAATGTGAATGCTCTTTAGATAAATCACTCGCAATCAATATAACTCTGACTCCCAAGGCCTCGCCCATTGTGCGGTTCTTATGTATCAAAAAGCTTTATTAAAATGCCAAAAATAAGGCCCAAAACAATGAGTGTATCGAGCTTAAGTTCAAGCCGCGCTTTAATTAGCATTTGGCTGGCATTTCAAAGAAAGGCAAATGAATATAAAAAACACACATATATGGCGCAGATACGAAACAGCCCAAGGTTAATCGTAAACGCTTTCAAATTCAAGTTCAATTCACATTCTCGGCACGGAGCGGGTAGTTCAGAGGCAACCCAGGCTCGCGAAGTTGCGGCCGATGAGTCACCTTCATCTGTATTCCACGACAGCACATGGGAAAATACCAGCTACCCAGCATAATATATGTATTGTGCCCACTCACTTCCTCATTGGTCCGAATCCGAGATCTTGGGGACGAAAGCAAAAGTCATGTTCTGAGTCAGCCACGAGGGAACTGACCTCGTTAATGTGGCGATCACCCGCGATTATCGACATCAACAGTTCGGGGGGCCAGTGAAACATATTCAAAAAGTAGTGGCCCCCGTAAAAAACTCCCTTGACAGGCGGCGAGCGATTTGCCTACACCCCAGTAAACGCTTAATTTATTGCCCCACTAGCTTAGCGGCTAATTAGTTAACCGCCAAACCATTAACTCGATTTATTATTCTAATAATCGTACTATATTTGCGCTTATTATAAACATTACGCATACGCAGCGATGCCTGACGACCAGGAGCAGCGAGGTGATAAGCCCGAAGTGGCCAGCGCTTTGAAAGCTAAACGGTGTTAAGCGTTACATCCGCCGCCCCACTAAATATAGACCCATCAGTGTGACACAATCTCGGCCGATATCGGGTGGCATCAGCGGCAGCATTCGTAATTAATTGAGTGCAGCTTGATTTAGGGTGAACAGCAAAGTAAATTAAGTGTTTTATTCACTTTTCTGGTTAAGTTATCAAACAGGTACTGATGGTTATCTTGTTTCAGGAAATATATATATTTGGAGGATCTTAAGACGGAGTTTAGTATGTTTTTCTCAAAGTACTTAGTGAACAATAAAATAATAATAATTAAGCTATTCAACTACAGAAATGAGAGGTTTTCAAAACATTTTCAGGAAGTATCGCCTTAGCATTGTATCTCGGTTAAAACAATGATCAAAATGAATCTTAATTAACATTATTTAATTCTATTAATTTTATAATTTATTTCTATTGGAATTAGCCGTCCCAGAATAATTTGAAATTAAATGAGCTTTAAGATATAAATATGGTGTAATATTTTCAAGACACCTTTTTCCCTGACGTCGTATAAATCATATGATATCATGGCTTAATACCTTGTCATAGAGCCACCCTAAAAGAGGCTACCATATATGAATGTAGAACCCTTCCGTCAATAGTTTGATTGCTATCAAGTAGGTAGATATATAGTGCCGATACTCACACTCCTCGCACTCCATGGTCTGGTCGGGTTCGCTGGAAACGTGCCCCCGATAACCGGGCGGCAATTATTTATGCCATGGTAATTAAACAGACGGGAGACGACAGAAGATGGAAATGACGAATGTTTGACGATGGTTACAGATTGTTTATAGTGGAGTAGGGAACAGGGGAGAGACACGGGTACTCGGGGGCAACGGAAGCCGGGACACGGTTCGCTTCTGATCACTCCATTCCGATTCGATTCCAACTCAGCATTGTCTCTGCTCCCATACATGACAGGTGGTGCTATACGACGATGACGCTTCGTTGGTTGGCGCTGGCAACGGCGCTGCTGGCGGTGGCCACCTGGCCGGATCCGGGCCAGAGTCTCCCGCAAGGTGCTCCGGAAACCGTGTGCGACACCATGCTGCCGTTCCACTCCGGCGGCAGTGTGCTGCCCCAGAGCAGCGTGTCGCCCTTCAGTGTGGAGACCTCCTCCACGACTGTCGGCCAAGGTCAGACAATTCGTGTTGATCTCACGGGAGTGCCGGCGGGCCTGAGCTTCGGCGGCTACATGATCCAGGCGCGCAACCGGAATCCACCTTACCAGATTGTGGGTCAGTTCGGTGCTGCCCGCGATGGAACCATCAAGCTGATGAACTGCGAGAACTCGGTGAACAACTCGGCGACGCACAGCAATGCCGGTGCCAAACAGCAAGTGCTCCTGGAGTGGCAGTCCCCGGTGGACTTCCTCGGCCAGGTGGTCTTCAAGTGAGTCATCTTTCTCTAACAACAGCTTTCATTCATGGCAACAACCTAACTTATATATCCTCCTCAGTGCCACTATTGCTCAATCCTACAACGAATTCTGGGTGGGTGTCCCCTCCCAGCCCGTCCAGATAGTCCGACGTGACCTGACGGCTGCTCCACTGCCAACCCAAAGTCCTCCAGCCTCCGCGGGAACAACGCGGGCTCCCTATGTCCCGCCAAACTATGTGGCGCCAAGCAATGTGGCTGCAGCCACCTCTGATCCCATCTACAACGGCTGCGGCCAGAGCAAGAACTGCTTCGGCTTCCCCGACGGATGTGTGTCATCCAAGACCTGTACCTCCATTGCGGTGGTGACAGTGCGTGGCGATATCTACGAGTTTGAGATTCAATCCGGCAGAGGTGAGTCATCAGCCAGGAGAGGAAGAGAATAGCTTTTTTGATTCCGATTTCATGAAATTGCAGGAACCAACGCCGCCTATGTGGCTGTCGGTCTCTCCGAGGATCCGAAAATGGGTGAAGATCTGACCACCGAGTGTGTGCCCGAGAACGGAAGGGTGAATCTGTACTCGTCCTACACTTCGGCCACTCCCTATGCGGCTACGCGATCAGTTGTGGTAAGTTCTCAGGTGTCTGGAGCTCTCTACCACTGTTGGGGGGGTTCAGACACCATTAAAAGTTTATAATTTTCCCAAATTGCTAATAAAATTTTAAAAAGTACTCACAATATTCAATTGCTAATTGCTTTTAATATAATAACACTTTCAGGGTCAGAGCTCTGCTCGGCTGATGGACGCCTCCCTCGTGGACGGCGTCATCTACTGCCGGGTGCAACGGGATGCGGTGACCTCTGTCCAGGGAAAAACCTTCGATCTGCGCAATGGCAAGTACCACCTGCTGGTGGCCTCCGGCAGCAGCTTGAAGGAGAACAGCGTGGGCTACCATGACATTGGACGTTTGCCATCGGGAAATGCCATCAATCTGGCGGAGGTGCAGGACCTGAGTGGATCCAGCAAGCTGCTGGTGCAGCTGCACGGTGCCTTCATGATCGCCGCCTGGATTGGAACCACCTCGCTGGGCATCATCTTTGCGCGCTATTTCAAGCAGACTTGGGTGGGCAGCCAGAGCTGCGGCAAGGACCAGTGGTTCGCCTGGCATCGTCTCCTCATGGTCACCACCTGGTCGCTCACGATAGCAGCCTACGTGCTCATCTGGGTGGAGTTGAAGCGTGCCGTGTGGCACGCCCACTCGATCATTGGGCTGATTACGGTGATCCTCTGTTTCCTCCAGCCCATCGGAGCTCTGTTCCGTCCAGGACCTAATGACAAGAATCGCCCGTACTTTAATTGGGGCCATTGGCTGGGCGGCAACCTCGCCCACATTCTGGGAAGTAGGTTTCAAAGAAGATTGCGATCATTATAAGCTTTTTATTGACACTAAAACCCCTTATTCTTGACAGTTGTGACCATTTTCTTCTCCGTAAAACTGCCCAAGGCGGAACTTCCCGAGTGGATGGACTGGATCCTGGTCAGCTTTGTGGTTGTGCACGTCCTCGTCCATCTGATTTTCTCCGTAAGTTTATTCCACCCCGGGTGGTTGGTTGGCTTAGCCCCCTTTTCTCATGTGACCCCAAAGTGTACAAAGAGTAGACCCTGCATCGCCTGCCTGTACAGTGGTTCTAGTTGTGTGTCCCTAAAAGTTCATTCATTCGATACTAATTCATCTGTCATAAATCATCCCCCGAGAACTGGTGGCTACGTCCATTAACGTACAGATCGGCTTGTGTTTGAATCATTGGCAGGTCGCGGGAATGGCCTCAGAGCGACACCAGAGTCAGCGGGCGAACAACTTCCAAATGGGTGACCTCTCCCACCACCATCAGCATGCCATGCGGAATGGCATGAGCATGGAAAGAAAAATGGATGCGCCGGTAAGTAAAGAAGCTTTATTAAATATCTTCTTCACATTAGAGTTCTAATCCGGGTACTCCCCTCTTTATTTTTAGTACGCGGGCATGCGAAAGGGATTGCTTGGAGTGTATGCCGTCGTTCTCGTCCTGTTCGTTGTGGTGCTGATCCTGCTGGTGGTGCTGGCACCCATTGAGCAATATCTGGGCAAGTCCTAGACACCGAATCTGGATGCGGATGGTGGCACCGTGTGTAACCTGTCCTCCCTCCCCCTCCACCTCCTCCCAATACTCGTATCTGTTCTGTGTGCTCCTTGTTTTTAACCTTCCGCCCACGGCTCTGCCCCCGCTCCCCATATCCCCTTCCCTCCAGCGTTGTGTTGTTATGTGTAATTAGGCGCAAGTAACTTGGGGCGGAGCGTTCAGTACATGTTATATAATTTATTATTAATAAAGTAAAACAAGCCAACATAAATGCATTAATTTTGTTTTTCTCTCTTATTCGCTGCCACTGTATGCCATTCCCCTTCTCCAGCTGCTGCGCTATATGCATATCATGTGGGGGACCGGTGTCGGGACGTGCTGCTCGATCGGATTACGCTGAATCTCCTATGTTTAATATGTAGCTTGTTGTATAAAACATTTACGCCTAACTGCCGCTAATCAGTATCAGTAATCTTTATCGTTATAGATATAGGTATATATGTGGTTGGGGGTGTGTTTGTGTGTGTGTATGCTTTGTTTATAGACTCGTTGCCAGATCCGCGCAATGAGGGTACGTGGTAAATGATAGATAACTCTACAGTTTTGAAATATTAATAATGCGAGAACTAAACCCAATCAAAACGAAATTGCCTTAACGTAACGAGCGGAATCATCGCTCCTCCAGGATGACAGTTTCCTGCGGGAACAGCTTGAGCGTCTCCAGCGTTTGACTGCCCTCGATCGCGGTGAGATCCCGTCGCGGCCAGCTGCTGATCAGTTTGTACTCTTCGATGAGGAATCCGTGGGCGGTCACGAAGTTGAGAAGATCCTGAAAAGCATATTCCAGTTAGTGGCAATCTTGGGCACTTTGCACTTCGTTCACCTACCTGCAGGCTGTTGTGGGTGTAGAAGCGACGCTCCAGGAAATCGCCGGTGGGCTTGCGCACGCGAATTTTGGAAATACCCGCCTCCAGCTCGGACGGCTCCTGAGGTAGCGATTGTTGAGCCTGGACAAATAAACTCTGTGAAAACGTTGTTCGGAATAGAAGGAAGCCCCCTTAACTTACAACTAATCTTATGGACTCGCGTCTAGCATCTTCCTCGGCTCGTTCGGACTCCAGGCGCTTGCGCTCTGCCAATTGGGCAGCTTCCTTTTGGCGTTTTGCAGCATCCTTGGCCATATCAGCTTGCAGGGTGGCCTCGTAGGCCATGTCCTGCTCCGCTTTCACCTGATCCCGAGCGGCGCGCTCGTCCTCCTGTCGGATCTCCACCTGCAGCTGTTCCTCGAACATCTCGCAGGTTTCTATGAGCCTCGTTAGCAAGTCATCCAGTCCAATGTTACCTGCAAAAAGGGTACAATGTTGAAAAGTTCCAGCTTAAGGGATTCGCTTAGACATACCCTGAATCACAGATAAAACCTCGCAGTTGCTGCCCAACTGACGGCTCTTGCCCACCAGCATAATGGCAGGCAGCTTGTCCAGCTTGATGTTCCTGGCCGTCAGCGAGGCATTGCTGCTGATACATGCCGTCAGGGAGGAGAGAAACCTACGAGTTACATTACGGGAGACATTAGTAAATGGAAAAGATAATTCTCAATCGTGGCTCACATGTCCTTGTTGCTCTCGTAGGTCAAGTCCCAGCCGAATAGGACAAACTTCTCCTTGAAGGTCTGTATAATGCTCTCATGCTTCATCAGTTGATCACAGAAAACGTTGGTGAGAATGCTCTTGCCGTGGTGTAGGTAAATGGCAAGAAGTTTTCGCTGGAAGGTTAAGGAGTACACAATGTCAGCCATTATTTTAATGGTTTAGTAAAGAGTGGCCATAATTACCTCCTTGGCGGACTTGAGGCAGGCCAGCTGCTTGGCGCTTTCCAAACTACCGACAAAGAACTCTGGACATGGCTCTCCGTACAACGATTTGTAGTTTTCGACGAACTGCGTGGAGCCACTTGTCTCGTCGTCCGTGTTGTTTGGTACTGGAAAGTATTTGACCTTTTTAAAACCCTGCCAAGTCAAGTTACTTGCAATCCAAACTCACTTAAGTGTCTGTTGAGCGGCTGTGTGGGCGGTGAGTCGGTGAATATATACTCGGCATTGTTGAAGTCCGTGGCATCCTCGAACTCATCCGCCGAGCTCTCGCTGTCCACGTTGACCACCTCAAAGGTGCTGTTGTGCTGGCTGGAAGTGGAGTTTTGGGCAGCACCCGCCGTACTCCGCACGGCGAATCTGTGGGACAGCTCAATGCCGGATTGCTGAAACGATTCGGACCATAAGGTAAAGCTTGAATGCGTTCATTGGTCAACCTACAGCCAGAGTGGTTTCGTTGTCACAACCGCTGGGCCAGCCGGTCCACTCCTGGTGGCGCACTGGTATGCTCTTGATGTCGAACACGTTCATCTTGAGCGCCTGCATCGTCGTGCGTCCAGGCAGGCTCAGGGTGAGCGACTCAGACTCGAACTGAATGTGGATGGTGAATATCTTGTCCGATCGTTGCGTCACCTCGTCCCTACAAAAGTTTATCGAGTTATAGGTATTTTCTAGGGGGATTCTTCAAGGAGATCGCTCACTGCTCGGTGTCCATGAAACCGTCGTCGGTGAGGTCCACCAGAATCAGTTCGTTTTCCGGAGCGAGGTCCAGGTTGCCAATGCGTGCTTCTGGTTGTTGGGCCTCGCTAGCTTTGGACGGGGGCCAGCCGCGTATGGCTTGCCGGCACACAGGGACACTGGTCACGTCGAAGATCTTGCGCTTCAGTTGCTCTGCAAAGGGTTTTCATCTTAATTAGTGGGCCAGGCTAGTTGGCTTTACGCGAGAAGCCCTTACCAACTGTGGCCTCCGAGGGCAAGCGGATGCGGTAGAGCTGCTGGTTGAAGTGGATGTTGAATGCGATCACGTTCTGGTTGTTGTTGTGGCTGGACACGGGGTCCAGGTTGATGCTCGACGTGAGCTGGGCTAGCAATTGTGACGCTATAGTAGATACGTTTCAAGTCAAGGCACAAAAGTGGCTCAATCACGTTAACTCACTGGGAAATCTCTGCTGCTGCTGTTGGTGGAGGTGCGCCTGGTGCATGGTTAGGTTCTGGTTCCGGTTCTCCAGGGCCGCAAAGAACCCCGCGTTGGACGGCCCGGGCAGCTCATCGTAGCCAGGCGGAAGGAAGCCGTTGGTGCTCTCCATTGCCAGGCTGCTTCTAGCTGGCGGCTCCGGCTGCTGGACTGGACCGGCCAGCGGCGCATCATCGTGCGGCATCACCCGACTCAGGGCATCCTACGAAGCGACAAAGGAGAACGCAATTAGCCATTATGACCACGCATGTGCGGATGAGATCGAACAAAGGAACACTGCACACTCACCATCAGGTTCCAGTTGACGGCCTCCAGGTGGGAGAAGGCCTCACCCACATCGTCGATGCCCGTGATGTTCTGCGGAGTGCACCAAGTCAGATATGTTTAGTTCGATATCGGAGTTTTCCCTCAAAGTCACCCACACAGCCAGCACGCACATCGCAACGAAGCGCAATGTGCGCAGCGAAATTGAAAGACTTCTGCTTGCTGGCAACTGAAAGGCCTTACCTGGAAGCTCGCCAGTGTCTCTTCCTTGTTCTCCGACATTGGAAACGCTTTTGAGTCTCTGGTTTAGGCCGTTTGAATGTATTTTAACTGTGCGGATTTTCACTACAAAAAATTACACAAAGAAAATTTATCAAATAGAGGTGACAGTTGGAGTTAGTGCTGGCAAAACATCGGAGCGCTATCGATACTATCGATGTCTGAAATTTTATTCGAAAAATATCGCTCATGACGGACGATCTGGTACTTTTGGTCGCTCGTACCGCAAAATCGATACTATCGATGTTTCGTCCGTCAAAACATCGAAAAATCGATAGCTTCTTATTTCCCGGCCAATTCAAAAACAAATTAATAAATAATTATAAATATAATTAAAATAACAAGGCAAGGAAATAGTTTATTAAAAACTTGTATTAAATCAAATATAATAAAACAACAAAAGTGATCAAACCGATCTCATTCCTAAGGAAGGAAACTTCTTCTTGATGGCATTATTTTTAAATGTAAAATTACAAATGATGTACATTTCTAAATGTCTTCATATTTATGTAATATAATATTTTTGTTTAGCTACCTCAGTTTAAAAATATACCTTAAACTTATAGCCACCATATTTCTGTTGTGAAATCGGGCTATATCCTTTAACCTCTAACTTCCTTGACCAATAAATTAATTTATTTACATTTCTAATTTAATTTGTTGGCGTTTGTTATGGTCTCGTGCTTATAAATAAAATATGATGATTTCAAACGCTATTCGCACCAGAGCCAACTTCCTTTCAAAACTGAAAGCGAATCCTTCAATCTGCGTAATGTATTCAAGTTGTAAATTGTGATTAATATGAGAAACTTTATACCTCGCACCCCCCGGGGACGAATAAGAGAGCCGGCTGCCGACCGGCTCGCCCCCGCACTGAGCGGCCGAAACAAATGCGCCTCGATTAATCTTCATGAAGTGGCGAAATCAAAGACCCGTCCGATGTGACTTCGATGTGGCCGGGATGAAACCAAAGCATAGAAGCCTCCGGGCTGGGAAGCCGACAACATGTTGCTCGTGGACCTGAAACTCTTCAGCCTGATACTCGCAGTCAGCGGATGCTGCTGCCTGATCCCGATTCTCGGGGACACTGACCAGGAGCTGCCGCATCGCATCTATCGGCTCCTGGATGGGCTCTCCTGCGGCCACGGCCTCAGTGCCAGCTCTACGTTCGCCCTTCTGCTCTCGCAGTTCCTGATAAAACGTGAGCCTAATGAACCGTGCACTCGCGATACGGATGACGGATGTTCCTGTTTATTTATGCCCTGTCCATGTCGATTCCAGAAAAGCTGCGCTACGTGGCGCCCACGCGATACGAACGCCAGCTCTACTACCATCTGCTGCACAGGATGGAGGACATCCGGGAGCGATCCGGTGGTGTGGTCCAGGAGCAGGCTGTCCAAGGGGAAAGTAAGGGCATTTTGCTGCACCTGCAATTAATTTAAATGTGCACTCACATTGATTTTTGTGCAGTCCTCAGCACAGCCTTTCAAAGAAATGTCCTGCTGCTGCCTCCCTCTCTAAAGTTGGGGGAGTTGGATGCCAACGGGGAGTACGAGCAGCTGGCGGAGATCTATTCGAAGGTAGTGAACGAGGGACAGCTCAACAGGACTTTGTCGGGTGAGGTTCTCAAGGAAAGTGATAAATTGTATATTATTAGTTTTAACCCAAAAATTCAGATCTCTGCCTTCGAGACATTGTTAACCTAAAGCCGCCGAACTGCAAGCTGCTCGCCGGAAAATGTCTGGAGCTCTTAACCAGCGATGCTCCTGCATACGGATACCAGAGGACTCATCAGTGAGTACTAGTTATCAAAGAATCCAAGAACAAACCCTATCCTTTATCCATCACCGCCCAGAGTCCTGCTGCTGTACGTGCTGCAGCATCAGGTTTGTGCCGCACACCTCAGCCCCCCAAAGGTGTACGAGCTGCTGGCGAGGATTCAGTGCGATGAGGTTGAGCGTGAGCAGAACGCTATCCGGAGCCTGGGGCTGCCTTCGGCCTATCGCGATCTGTATCTGGAGCAAGGTGAGTCAGACACTTATCCTTGCTTATATCGCTGACACATATCTCTGCCTACCACATGCCACCTGCCTGCCCGCCGCCGCAGCCACCATCTGCGGGCTGTTTGGCTACAATGAGTTTGTAAACTGGCGCAACGTAATGGAAATTGGCAGCTGGCTGGCTGGGGGGGAGGACTCGCCGAAGGATATATTGGCCGATGACAGCGATAGTCAGCACATAAGCGATCTGGCCTTGGTTTTCTATACGAATGCCCTGCTGCTGCTGCACTAATCCACCACCCTCCCTCCCCAGTTCCCCCATAATATAATAAATCCCCCGTCGCCATGGTTTTCGCTTCTGCTTGATAAGTTAATAAAGTGCCGCTTATTGCTTCTACGGTTGTGTCGATTCCAGCTAGTTGAGTGGTTAATACTTTTGTCTTTCAACTGCATCGAGGTAGTGCAGGGTCTTGATGGGATGGGAAACAACATTTGTAATGTGACACATTACTTGCGCTCGGCTGCTCCTCTGATGGATATGCAGCTGAACGGGAACTACTACGACGACAACGACAACACTTTCCATTACAAAATGCTCACACTGAAGTGGAATACTAATATTTGCCCTGACATACTCGAAAACATGGCTTTGGAAACCAGCCGGGGTGCAGGCAGCGAAGCCCGAGGGCCTGTGAAAGGGAAGAGGTCCTGCTTCTGGGCTCGGTGGGTCTCCGGCTGGATATTAATGCCTCATTTGCTGCAACTCCAAGGGGTGGCTCTTTGTCAAGGAGTGGGGGAATGCACCCACTAAGCCGTCAACAAAGGATATACACTGAGCCGAAGCATTGGGTATTTTGTCATTTAAATTACTATTATTTCAACACCAACAACTCAAGCACTATTTGTAAATAAAATAATACATTTTAAATATATTAACTACAAAAAAAAGGGGAAATTAGCTTCTCCTTTAGATAAATTAGTGTATTATCAGGGAACCAAAGTTCTTTCTACAGAAATGATCTTTATGATGGACTCTCAAGTTCCATCAGGCTGTCGCCACTTACAGGCCAGGCTCCTACCTTTAAAGTTCCTGCCCGGCCGAGTCTCAATTGAATGAAAGCCGTCTTAGCCTAAATTTTCCTTTTAACAAACAACACAAACTCCAATCCTGCAAAGTTTTTTTCCCAGTGCTTACATACACAAATAAACCAGCATACTGTATGTCGTTGCCTTTGTCGGGGGTCATGAATAGCGCCGGGTCATTAGTAACGTTGACTTGTCAATGCAGCAACAACGCCGACGAAGACAACAACAACAACAGCAACAGAAATGCCGTAGACTTGCCAAGTCTCGGTTACCATCGTAGCAGGAGGCAAAGGTCCTGGCCTGGACATTCCTGCTCCTGCCGCCTATATATGTGTGTGTTTTTTTTATCCATTTCTTTTGGTAGGCAAACACAACAACCCTTCAACAACCCTTGCAACCCGATCAGCTGACTTACTGGCCACTGCACACAAACACAGAGTGTACCCTCCCCCGCCCCATTGCCCAGTCCCCCCGCCCAAGGCGTCTCGTGTTGTTTTTGTCCACGCGTGTCGTCGAGTTCATTATGGGCTTATGTCCCTTAAAGTGTCGGTGGCTCTCCGTAGGTGTTTATTGTGCTGTTAACTCGCAGGCAGCGAAACACTGTTGCCTAACATTCGCTCTCCACCTCTCACATAATCCTGGCATAGTCCTTTGACAGTGAAAGCCCGGAATGTTTGGACGCTCTCTCTTGGGGCGCATGCGTGCGTGGGAGAGAGTAGAGCAGCTGGGAGAGAGTATGGTGAGAGAAAGAAGGAGAGAGGGTGGAGTTGGGCGAAAGCTTATGGTTGCCAGGTGTTTGGTGTTTAGTAATTAAGTGGTGTTTTTATGTAGGTAGGTTTTTTTGTTTTTATTTATATCTTCAGTTATATCATTTAATATTAGATATAGGATAATAAAAAAACTGAAAGTAAAATAATTATTTAAGACCCTAACTGGGGAAAGCAAAGTGTTCAAATCACTTTGAAATGCAACCTTTAAATCCCTATAATTCGAGCCTAAATGTATTCATGTTCGGAATTAAAATTAGAAATTAAAAATTAAACCTAATAAATTAGTATTAGCACCCTGGCAACCCTATTAGCCAAGCTAACTGTGCGAATTGAATTGGCGCCTCTTTTCATGGCCGGATAATCGTCCGAACGGATATTACAATAACAGCCAAGCACAAGGACCAAGGACTCTCTGGCTCCGGTTTCTGCGGCTCTCTCCGAGAGTTTGTGTTCTCCCTCCGGCTACATTTCTTCGCTCTCTCTCTCTCGCTTTCCCTAGTCCTCTCCGTGGCCCTGCCAAGTGGCATTTCCATTCCGTTTCGATACTCATACGCTCAGTAGTCTCCCGTCAATTAGAGTGTAAAAACGTTACGCTCCCCGAAAAACAAACGGAATCGCTCGAACGCCAGAAATCATCCGTATCCGTCGTCATCAGACATCCGCTCGCAGGATACAACCAAAATAACGTACATACATATACACACAGCCGCAGCCATAGCCATAGCCGTAGCCGTAGCCATAGCCACAGCCGCACAACGATGCTCGACAACGAATCCGAGATATAGCCATATCAGAGCAGGGAACTAGCCAAACGTGGAAATCCTGCGTTATTGTATATATGGCGACGCGACTGCTCGCTGCGATTGAAAATTCTCGTGCAAGTGCAATGTGAAAGTCAGCTTATACGACAGCTGAATGTGTCCCAGTGAGTGAGAGTGTGCGAGTGTGCGGGAGTGTGTAAATGTAAATACCACGAAAATCGCTGAAAGCCGAAAAATAAAGCACAAGGCGCAGGAGGAGGCGGAGTAGCAGCAGCAGCAGCAGAAGCGAAAGCAGAAGCAGAAATCAGCAAAGACCACGCAGAATAACGGTACTTGGCCAGAGGCAGCCAAAAGAAGAAGAAGAAGAGCAGCAGGAGCAGCAACAGCAACAGAAACAGAAACCGTAAGGATTTGTACTTGTATTCTCCGATTGTGCCAGTGTGTGTGTTTGTGTGTAGTTTACGGAGACGAAAAAATGCGAAATGAAATAATGGAAATTTATGTGGCCAGTAAGGCAGTAAGGGCGGCGAATAAGAAGTGGAAAAGCGCACTTCAAGTGGCCAACCCACTGCCCTTCCACACTCACACACACACAAACACTCATTAGTATTAGTATGAGTTTCCCCTCACCAATACACATGTCGCAGACATACACACATCCGCCACTTTTATTTATTGTGATTTTTGGGTCAAACTAAAGTTGCAACGATGATGTTGATAATTACCAGTTCGTTCACATTGCCACCACCAACCAGTTCAAAAGTCCTTTCGGGCGTTCGGGAGTTCCCCTTTTTGCTGCACTGCAAGGATTCCTCACTCGCCCACTCGCCCCAACACACGCACACACTCAGCCAAAAAGCACCCACACACAGACGTCACGTTCTGCTCCCCCTCGAGTTGTGTGTATATGTATGTGGTGTGCTTGTGTGGGTTCTGCTTTTGTTTTAGTCCTGAGGTCCTTGCTGGGAAATTACTTTGTTGTTGGCTGCCTCCGTTGGCATCGCTGTAGTTGTTGCTGTTGTTGTGGCAAGGAACGCGGTCTTTGACAGCTTTCAAGTAAAGCGCGCGCACCTGCGAATTCGCCATAAATTAGGCCCGCGTCCCGCATATAGGAGGATATATATATATTTAGTGCGATGTCTTGGCACTCAAAGCCGAGGCAGGATAAGCCGCAAGAAAAACGCGCCAAAGCTCAAGGCTGCTACAGTGTGGCCTATAAGGAACTAATTACTGCCATCCTTGGAGAAATGGGAGTAATGTACCTTTTCCAGATCTCTATCGGATAAAACAGGCTACAAAATCATAGTTTTCTATGCGGTAGTATGCAAAAACCGATTATAAATCTATTGAAACCGATTGTTATCTAACTTTAAGTATTAGTATTTAATCAGAATTTCAATCGAATTACGATTGTGTTTCCATTCACATTATGAGCAGATTTGACAGCGAAAGTAGAGACAATAATTAGCCAGACTATAACCTTGTTATTCAAGTTTTATGGATATAAATTACCTCTCCTGTTTCATATGTATTATTTATAATTATAGTAGAAATGCCAGCGATTTCAAATCTCCAATTATAGGTGGCAAAAAGTGTGCTATAAAAACAGTATAGTTCAGCGTTTGATAATCCAACAAATTCCTGCCAATTAAATTATAAATGTATTCACTGACAGCCACTGCACAAATTATTTTAATTGCCTTCTGTATACTCACTAATTGCTAAAAAAAAAAAGATGAACAACAAGTAAATATTGCATCAGCAACCTTGGCTTAAAAGCTATAGTAACTACGGTGCTCTCAATTAAATCAAACATGAAACAGCCTTGAAGGAAAGGTCATATATTTATCAGATTTCGTGCTTGAATGCAGCTACAAAGTAAATTAGTTTTCCCTCGCACGCTCGTAAATTCCTTGCAACATCTAAGGCTTCCGAAGGAGCCACTTTAATGACGATGAATGGAGGGAGGGAGATGGGGCAGATTAGCCCAATTAACGGGTCTCCACTGTGGTCGCCGCCTCTCGGTTGTCTCCCGCCTGTCACTTTGGCCACTTTCTCGGGGAGTCAGAAGTCTGGCATGCGTGAATCGAGTTGATTCGAAGAGGGCCTCCGCCCGCCGCCCGCCGCCCGCCCCGGAAAACCATCCCCAAGCGCCCAAGTGCGACCCCTCCACATTGTTTTTGTGTGTATTTTGTGGTTGCTGGCCACCCAATTGGCTCTCCACGGATTTTGTGCTCTATTTACCTGCCTTATAAAAACACAATTTATTGCTGCCCTAACGGTTTCCCTTTGTGATACAGATTCACCATCATCAGCTTCTGTTTTCAGTTTTCCGTTTTCCGTTTCTGCCACTGTTTCTGTTTCATTTCTCTTGGCCGCTTTTAGTTTCGCTTTGTTTTGTTTCTTTCCAACTTAACTTTTCCGCTTCTTTCCCCGGGACATCCCCCATTGGCCGGCCTTCCGCTGTATAGAAAGTTTTTGCGTGACATCAGCCGCAGGAATAGCAGCCGTGGATATGGGATATAATTCTGCTGCTGGCTGCCATTTTGTTTGGCCTTGTTTGCCTTTTGCCTTTTGCTTTTGAATCAATAAACTAGCCACGGAATCGAGAGCAGTTCCTAAATAATTGAAAAGCAGCCGAGGTTTTTCCCTGAACCCTCCCCCCAACAAAGACCACTTAGCCCCACTAGTAACTGGGAAGTTTAGCTCAAAAGCTGGCAACTCACTTCAGCTCAAGAGCGATTATCGGATAAAAGGAGAAGAGATATGTGCATGCAAATAATTCGGTTATCACTTATCCGACTCACTTTCACTGGGACGGAGGACCCCCGTTTAGTAGTTTTTCGGGCATATCTCTCTCTGGCACAAAAGTTTCCGGCTCTCCCCAGCAATTTGATCATTTGTTATGGTCAGAACTGTCGGGAACTCAGACATTCCGGCAAAAAATTCCACTCTGTGGTCACGTATCAAGTATCTGTGCGGTGCGGGTAAAGTTTTGAGTTTACGATTTACGATGCATAAACTTTATCCCAGGGCTTTCACTCAACTCAAATAAAAAGTCGCCGGGTAATAATCTGTGATAAATGAATATGGGCCCAGCGACGGAATATGGTTTCAGCCAGCCAGCAAACTATCCGATATCAGGCATCGGACATCAGACATCAGACATCGCTGCCCAATGAGCTCTTAATTGTGTAATTAAATCACTGCCACTTGGAGCATTCATTTTTGTCCATTAACCGACTAATTAGATTGATCAGCTTTCCGCCAAAGCCCCGAAAATCGAGAAGGCAGAGCCGGTCTAGGAGTCAAGTTTTGGGCCTCGGAGCCTATTAATTTCAAAACCGATGCGTTCTAATTAGTTTCGGAGAGGCCACAGTATTTTCCATCCAAATGAGCACACGTTTTTGTGAGTCGCAGCAGCAGCTTACCTGAATAATGAGTTTTCCTCACATGCATTTCGGGCTAAAAGGGGGAATCCCCCGAACATTCATCCGCACAAAGCAAACTCCCACCGACAGGAGGGCTTCAGCCTTCTGCATAGCTGGCCATTCGGAGGCGTCGTACCGGAAAGAAATGCCATTAAAAACGCAATAAAAATGCAAAAAAAAAAAAAAGAACAGAGGCGAAAAATACAACAAAAAGGGGTTGGCTGTGGGGCTCGGGTTCGGGGGGATAGAGAAGAAAAGCGAAATCCCGAATGAAAGAAATGCGAAAATATAACGTGCAGAGTGCGCAAATACAAACGGACAAAAAGAAGTATGTGGCTAGTATGTCAACCGTTGCCCCAAGTCCCCGCTCCCTCTCTCCAGTCTCCTGTCTGTAGTTCTCTAGTGAGTGTATAGTGAGTGTGCGGAGCTCTGTGTGCCTGTGTGTGTAAATAGCCAAGGTGGAAAAATCGATATAAATGAATACGGCAACATTTGGTCGCCCCCCGAAAAAACCAGCAGAAAAAAGGAGAAACCTCAACTGACTCAACTTGAGACAGTGCGGAATGGCGATGGGTTTTTTAGCCCCTTACGTCAAACTTATAAAAAAACGAGAACTTTTTTTGCACGCACAGCCAACGCGAGCGCGAAACACACACGTACATACATTCACACATGCAGACTGGGAAAACGGTAAGGGGGAGGGAAAGTGAAAAGCGGGAGGGAAAGCAGCCCGAGGCCGAAGGCAGTCAGCGCGATTTTAAGCGCAGGCATATGAAAATTGCCATAAAAATATATATAGTACGCGTGCAGCGATTGCATACACTAACTTAACGTTTGACGACGGGGTAATTTGATTTTAAAGAAGCTTACGAAGAGTATTTCTTCTTTAACATATAAAAACTACTTAGGACTGGGTTCTTCCCTCATTTTGGGGAGTGTAAATTATTTGATGAGAAAGTAGGTTCTATTCTACATAATTTAAAACCCAATATTTAAGTTAAATTATCTCGTAATGTCCTACATTAAATGTTTTACCTATATCTAAATTAAACATAATAAAACAAGTAGCTAGAACATTCGGTGGCCTAAAAGGGTACATAGCTTAGTTTCTGTACTATTTTTAGTTTGATCTGTTATTCTGCAGCGTTGCATTTTACACGAGTGAAATACCCTAAAAAATATGGCTACATCAGCGCAAACAGTTAACAGAAGCCAACTTCCAGTTGGTTTAGCTTAATTAATCAAATCAAACATCCGGTCGTCTGGGGGACTTCCTGGTCCAGGATCTGATGTGTACTCCGCTGGGGCACCGAAGAGTATAAATAAATAAGGCAACAGAAACAAAAAACAAGAGGTGGGAAGCAGGGAAGATGGGAGGAGGGAGGAGGTAGAAGAAAGGACAGGAAGAGAATGCTGAAGCGGCGGAGCAGCGATTTCATGCTGCGGCTGCAATGTTTGCCCCAGTAAGTATGCTACACATTTCTCGAGCACGGGTTAAGTGCCGTGCAGAGAGAGAAAGAGACCACAGAGGCTGAGATGAGGCAGAGAGAGATAGAGATGTGTGTGTGTTTTGTGTTTTTTTTTTTTTTCTGGCTTAACAACATTTGCACGCCGTTTCCTTCCATCTTGGAGACATTTGACATTTCAATTTCGAAAAGGCCTACGAAATTTTCGGTTTTTCCGTCTTCGATTTTTCCATCTACTACTACTGTTTCTATCCGGGAGTGTCCCACAGCGCCCGCCTGCTTGCCTTGCCCTGCAGAGTACACACTTTGCCGAATTGTGTCCGTATTGATTTCTAATTACTCGGCCACACAGTATTTGGCTTAAGGTAGGACGCCAGGTGGCAGGTGGCAGGTGGAATTTGGTTCGGGCTGTGGGTTTGAGGTTGAGGTTTGGGTTCTGGGTGAGTTAGATGGGCGGTATCAATGGGGAGGGGGTAATGGGAGTGGCCACCCTTGATGGGGGTCTTGTCTATTTGTTGTGGCGGCGTTGCCATGGCGGCTCCTATTGATTTTACCACCGCCACAAATGCCATGAATCATGCCAGAGCTCAAGCCTATGCTCATGACCACACTTGAGCAAAGAAGTTGGTCTAAAAATAAGTAAACGTTACTGCCCTGGTGGGTGCTATTGAAAGCTGTTTTGGATTTTTTAAGAGTTTCTCTTTAACATTTTGAGCTGTTAATAGATTTAGATAATATATTTTAGTGCATTCTTTATTGAAGCCTTATTATATAAGAATAATTAACAAAATCCTAGAGAAGCTACGATTTATATTGGTCGAGATTTCTTTAAAATTACTTGAAGTTTGTAATTGCCACAACAATTACTATATATATTCGTCATAGATTAAGTAACTCTGGAACATTATTAACATTAGGTATATTAGGCTACTTTACCATTGTTTCTAGAGGCAAATATAATTTTTCGCATACTTTTAAACATCTTTATAATTGACTTAATATCTATAAGAATTTGTTTGTCATTATTATCTTCTCCAGGATTTTCAGTCTTTGAGAAATTACTTTTTACATTCAGGTCAGAAATTTTTTTTCTAACAGTGCATGCTTAATGCTCATCCACCTTGTTCACCCCGCACCCTTCATCCTCACATACACACACACACCGCCTCACCGGAGAGGTTCCATTTGGCTATTGCGTGTTTAGCAATTTGCGGTTATATTATAATGACCACTTGATTTGCGTTCGCGTCGGCTTGAGCTCTCTTGCCTTTGCTTTTACCGCCTACTAATTGCGCGCTTGTGTATGTCCTTTCAGGTAGGAAAGCAGCAGGAGCTACCACCAGGCAGCTGGCAGGAGCTGAAGGAGAGCCTAAAGAACCGAAGGAGCAACAGTCGCGGAGGCAACGTCGAGACGCATGCACGCTCCATGCTCGCCGCTGGCTGATGGCCAAAGTCGGAATTGGAATTGGAATCGGAACCGGGACAATTGAATCGAACGCCGAACGAAAAGGAATCGACGAGGAACCCTTCCCGCATCAAGCATACGCCCCATTGCGCCGCACACCTGTGGACAGAGTGCAGCATGTCAACTTCAAAGCATCAGCGTCAGCATCACCATTACAGAGCCGGCTGTGTGTGGCTCCTCCTCCTGCTCTCATCGGCCAGCGCGGCAGTGAGTGCGATAGCGGAGCCCGAGGAGGCGGCCTTCCAAGGTGCGTTTGACATTTGTGACTGTTTAACTGTGACCGGCCCCTGGCCAGGTGCCTAATTGTGGAAATTTGGGTATTTGGAATTTGGTATTTGTCTCTGGCATGGGCATTTCGCCCCCTCTTTGAAGAGGCAACCACCTCCTGCCCCACCCTTGACATATCAATATACGAGGACGAGGCCCTATTGTGCGACCCAAACGAGCCTTTGACGTTAATGAGCAACTTAATTATGCGTGAGAGTGGCCCAAAACCAGAAAACCAGAGACCATACACCATACAGAAAAAGCAGGCAGGGATCGGGAGTCATATAGCGCCTGGTTGTCGAATTTTCAGGGCCCGTGGGGTTGAATCTGTCACTGCCAACGACTACGATGCCGACGATGCTGATGTGTGCTGCTGACACTTCGATTTCAATTGCATACAAAATGCGATTTTTCAATTTCAATTTGAATACGCAATGCATTGCCGGCGGCGGCGGGACAAACGAGCGCACATACTGGGACACCAGGACCAGCATCAGCAGCAGCTCTTGTGTGTGCATATGCAAATGGATTCCTCTGCTTGTCCACTGCACTTTAATCGTCCCCACAGTTGCTTAATCAACTAGCAAGCGCCGGCGTGCATGAATGCAGGAGCTGCTCCTGCCTTCCCTCCATCCTTTTGATGGCACTTTAACAGAGTAGCTGTTCGTGTTCGTGTCTCCGTTTCCATCTTCAGCTCTAGCTTGCTTCAGAAAGTTCTGTGTGTGTGTGCTTGTTCCATTTAATACAATGTGTGACGTAAGTGCCGGGCCCGGTTGCCACTCGGGCGTATGCGTAATGCTTGTAATGTTTTACTTTTCTTACACCTACTTCCTGCCTCCGCAGTGGCACAATTTCGGTGTCAAGTGGGCCAAATGCATTGCAAAAAAGGCTTTGATTTGCCTATGAGAAATTTGCATTTAAATTGCCATCGAACGGGAACTTTTCCAAAGAACTATGGAGAACCACGAACTATCGCCCAACGTGGGAGTTATTTAAGTAGTCATTATGAATTTGTGGAGGCCAGGTGCGGGTGTGGGTTCTGTCATGGCCAGCCGTAAATTACCAAAAGCGTATGCCACAGTCAGAGACCGGAGAACAGGACAGGATAGAAGAGAACCGACCAGACCAGACCAGACCAGGCCCAAAGTCCTTAAAGCTTATTAGAATTTATTGCGGACACGTCGGTCACACCCAGGAACACACACACTCGGCGCCAGAGCAGGCCGGGCCAGGACACTGGAGCAGACGTAGACACGCAGGACACTCAACTAAACTCAAGTGAACTGAACTGAAATTATGAACCCACAGAAACAGAAACAGGGCCAAACCCCAAACTGACTATTTTCCCTTTAGTCCTTATCGTCCATCTATATGGCACTAACCCGAACCCTCTGCTCGCCCACACAGGTCACTGCGGACACACCAGCCCCTGCGAGCAGCTCTGCTACGAGATCCACGATGGCATGTACGAGTGCGATTGCATCGAGGGCTACGAGCTGAACAAGAACGGTTACAGCTGTCAAGGTGCGTTTAGGTTGCCTAAATGAATATGGATATGATGGGCTATCCAAGGATGCAAATTCCAGTGGCCACAAAATTGATTTGCAATTTGACATTTCATTTCATTTCATTTCGTTTCGTTTTGGTTATTATTCGGAAATCAGCCTGTAATGGACATGTCCCAGAGTTTGGGGGGGCTGGACGGGATTAGCCCCCCAGATTACATTTGCATGCGCCGCCGTCACTCTGTTATTATTTATTTTCGTACTGGCTTGTTCGGGGGAATTATTATTATTTTGTGATTGTTGCTCGCTTGGACGATGCTGCATCTGCATGCTGCCTTTGGCAAGTCGGCAAATTGATATTTTTGTGTTCTTATTCGGGGTTTACTTTATGTGTGTGTAAGAGCGTTTTGCATTTAATTTGTGCATTTTCGACAATGTGTCGAAAAAATTACATGTCCAACGAGCAGTTATTTCCTGAAAGCCATACACTACTATCGATGGAGGGATGCTTGATTAATGGAGTTTACTTTAAAGATTTTCTTTTTAATTGCTATATTATTCTGAATATTTTATATTTATTTAGGTTCCCATTGAATATTTCATATTTTTGTATGCAAACCGAATTACGTTTTTATTTATTTTGTAGTTACAGAAAATTTTTAGTTCTTTTTGCCTAAAAAGATGATGTAACTGCATTGTTAGAGTATAAACTGAAACAAAGGCTTTAAAGTTCTAGTTGCAACTGCTTGCGCTGAGCTAGTTTCCGTCATAGTTTTAATTGAATAAACTATTTTCCACCCCACTGAGCTTTGTTTTGCGTGCATTTGATATTTTTAATTAATACTGAAACCTAAATGCACGCCATAACTGAATCGAAATCTGATTTTCCAGTAATTAATGCCACTGCCAATGGCTCCGATGGGCGTGGCAAGTCCGACGAGGATGTGCTCTACCAAAAGGGCGCCTCCTTTAGCGCCAAGCTGGCCAACGACGATGGCAAGTCGATAGCCAAGTCCTCGGACTTCAGAGGATCAGCATTGCAATCCGGTACGCAGCCGGAGGGCAACAGCGAGGACGAGTCCGGATCGGAGGGCGACAGCTACGATTACGGCGAGCTAGAGGACAGTAATTCGGAGACACAGGAGCAGCGCAAGCAGCAGTCGCTGGATACCCAGCAGCAGCAACAGAAAGTCAATTCAAACGATTACTACATATCAGCCGAGAGCATCAACTTTAACTCGGAGTCCGAGGGAGTCCAGGAGCCGGATGTGGCCGACTTCAAGGCGGCCAGCACCGCGCCTCCGTCCACTGCGGCGCCGCCGTCATCGACCACAAGGGCTACCACCACGACGACGCGTAGATCCCCCACGGCAGCCCAGAACCAGAACCAACTGGACACGGATTACGGGGACAGCGATGGGGACGACTATAGCTATAGCTACAAGTCGGACATGTCCGTCTACGACGACGTCAACAATAATCAATTAAACTTAAGACGCAACAGCAAATCGCAAACATATCAGCAGACAAGCAATAGCAACAGCGCAAAGAACCGGAGGAGGAACAATAACATAAGCAGCAATAAGGTCCAAATGCATATCACGAGGGAGTCCACCTCCCAGCTGGGCAACATATCAGGAGCCGAGCAGGCGAGCGCGGACGTGGCCATGGCAACAGACAGGTGGGTCATAAGAGGGAGCGTGAGCAGAACTCCTTTACATACATTTTCATCATAAGAAGTATGAGCGTAGCGTCCCTCTTTGAAAATGTTGTCAAGGGTTGTTCACTTCGTCCTCTTTGTGGAGCATTTGTGCAGCAAAAGTACAGAGAATGTACACATTCCGAAAGTACCTTTATCTAATAAACCAATATTTGCTACAAAGAGGCAACTATTTCCGTAGTTATTCCAAATTTCCCTTCATTTGCAGCGGCCCCAGTTGCAATCTGGACTGCGGCACCGATGGAATCTGTGCCTTGGAGGCCACTGCCGCCAGCTCCCGCTGTCTTTGTCCCTTTGGCAAGACCGGGCCGGGTTGCCAGGAAGGTAAGTTAAATCTATCTTTCTCTAAGAAATCCCATAATCCCTCATTTTAATCCACAGATATCCGTGCCCATGTACCGCGCTTTGCCAAGCGATCCTGGCTGGCGTTCCCAGCGCTTCACGGCGCCTACAAGCACGTCCAGCTGCGCATTGAGTTCCGTCCAGAGTCCTTCGACGGCATCATCCTGTTGAGTGGAGAGCGAGATGACTTAACCGGGGACTTCATGGCTCTCCTGCTGAACAAGGGCTTTGTAGAGTTCTGGTTTGACTGCGGCTCCGGTGTGGGCAGTGTTCGGTCCAGGGAGACCATTCTGCTAAACGAATGGAACTCGGTGATCATCTATCGCCATCGCTGGGATGCCTGGCTGGTGCTCAACCACGGCACCAAGGTCCAGGGTAGATCGAATGTAAGTTTAAATGGTTCTAAAGAAACAAGGTTTCCTTATGGGGTAAATATCCTTTCCAGGGCTTGTTCTCACGCATCACCTTCCGGGAACCAGTGTTCCTGGGAGGCATAGGTAACATCACGGGACTCGCCAAGCGCCTGCCGCTGGCCGAGGGCTTCGCCGGCTGCATACGTCGCTTTGTGGCCAACGAACACGACTACAAGTTCACCGAACATCCATTGGGTGATGTCATCAATGGATTCGATATTCGTGAGTGGCAGATATTCCCCTTAATTACTTTTCTCTAATATCCTTTATTTAAACAGAGGACTGCTCCACCGACAAGTGCGTGAGGTATCCCTGCCAGCATGGCGGCAAGTGTCTGCCCTCGGATCAGGGAGCAATCTGCCTGTGTCCCATTGGCTTTGTGGGAGATCTGTGCGAGATTCGCATGGACCTGCAGGTGGGTGTCTCTTCAGGAAGCTTTCCATTAATTCCTATTAACATGCTAACCTTTTTCAGGTCCCCGCCTTCAATGGCTCTTCGTTCCTGCGCTACGCCCCACTGGGTGACAGTGCTCTAATCTGGCTAGAGCTGAAGGTAACTCTGAAGCCTGAACAGTCTGACGGACTGATCCTGTACTCTGGTCCGGAACATCGCGGGGATTTCATAGCCCTTTACCTCAACGAAGGCTTCGTGGAGTTTGCCTTTGACCTGGGCAGTGGTCCGGCTTTAGTACGGTGAGTAAAAGAGTAGAAGACCCTTTTGCGAGACAATCACCAAATGAATCTCAAATTTCCTTCCGCAGGAGTGAGCATTCCCTCAGTCTGGGTCAATGGCACACCATCAAGATCTCTCGAACGGCTCGACTGGCAGTTCTCAAGGTGGGAAATCTCAACAACTCCTTGTCAGCCTCGAATAACCTTTTGATTTTTAACTCTCTAGGTGGATCAGTATCAGGAGGTGATGACCATCTCGTCCAATGGCTTCTGGCACTTGTCGTTGGACCAGAATCTCTTTGTGGGCGGCGTTAACCACGTAGACCGTCTCCCGCTGGACCTCAAGTACAAGCCCTTCTTTGTGGGCTGCATCCAGAAGGTGAGTGTGGAGACGCCCCTGTTCTGTCTTCACTTTGCCTTATGCTCCTTTGTTCGCCACTTACAGATTGAAATCAATGGCCACTCGCTGGGCATTGTGGCGGAGGCACTGGGGGGCAGCAACATCGGCAACTGCCCCCACGCCTGTGTGGCCCGGCCCTGCGGTCCCCTGGCGGAGTGCGTTCCCCAGATGGAGACCTACGAGTGCCGCTGCAGCATCCACAACGAGCGCTGCAACAAGGCCGCCGAAGTGCCGCCCGAACAGCTGCCGGAACTGGGCATCATTCACAAGTCCAAGGTCCTCGAGACAAAGGACAATGGTGAGGCGGTGAAGAAGGTTGCCGGCTTGCCGCACAAGAAGCATTCAAAGAAGCACAGGAATTTGCATAAGCCAACCCCTACCACGAGTACAAGTACCTCCACGTCCACCACCACCACGACGACAGTCCCAACATCCGCAGCTCCTGAGTTGAATGAGGCAGCCACAGCGGGGGCGCTAAGCAACGAGGAAATCGAAGATGATATCATATTCCGCTTTGTGCAGCAGCAACAGCAGCAGAAGGAGCTCAAGGAGCATCACCAGACGTCCACCACCACAGCCCCGTCCAAACCCAGGCCCAAGCTCTCCGGGAAACACCTAGCCAGCAAGCACGAGCATCACCAGAAGCCCAACGCAGCCTTCGCCCGCAAGCTCAGTCGCCTGCCCACCCACTACGAAAGTTTCCAGACGAACCCCGACAGCGACATCCTCACCTTCGAGGACAACAACGACTGGGTGGCCAGCCTGCAGCAGCAGGAGTATGCCGATGCCATGGCGGCATCCAGCCAGACGCCAACGGGCAATCTGCAGGAGGGGGAGGTTCACCCCAAGCCAAGCGAGGACAACGACAATGACGAGGATGAGAATACCTTTGTGTTTGACGAGACACTGTTCGACGCCTCGGACGGCACGGAGGAGTACCAGCGCAAGCAGTTGGCTCAGGACATGAAACGCATCATGTCTAACTCCAACACGCACTCCAGCCACAAGAAGTCCGATGTCCAGGCCCCCTTCCAGCCCAGTCCCGTCCAGAATGCAGGCTCCCCCAGCGAGGACACCTCGCAGTCGCAGTACAGTGATGATTACAACGACGATGAGCTGCTGACCCCCATAATGCAGGCTGGCGAGGATCCGCCTATTAAACCGGAACAGCACATCTCCAGCACACCGCAAACCCACACCGACTGGAGCCTGCTGAAGAAGTTCGATCTGTCCGCCGAGCACCAGTCGCAGGTGCAGGGCGTTCGCAAGAACTTCGGAGCCTGCTTCGCCGGCAGCGACAGCTACTTTCACTACAACGACGCGGACACCATGAGCCAGGTGATCAGCTACAACATCGATCTCAATCTGCGCATCAAGACGCACTCGGAGAACGGCGTGATTCTGTGGACAGGACGCCAGGGTACGACGGAAGAGCACGACGACTATCTATCCTTGGGCATTGAGCAGGGGTAGGTTGGGGAATAGGGTTTTGTTTTACAAACAGAGGTATGAATATTTCTGATCTTGTAGATACCTGCACTTCCGCTATGACTTGGGTTCCGGAGAGGTGGACGTACGGTTCAATGGCACCAAGGTCAGCGATGGCCTGTGGCACCGAGTGAGAGCCATAAGGTGAGCAATAGACTTTGAACTTCTCGTAACTTTATAATCAATCAATCAATCAATGACTTCTTTTACAGAAACTCCCAAGAGGGCTATCTTGAGGTGGATGGCAGGAAGACAGCCACGCTTCGAGCGCCGGGTAAGCTCCGCCAGCTTAACACAGACACGGGCCTGTATGTGGGTAAGTATTTCCCATAATATACATCCTTCTCCCAGAGACTATAGTGATATGATCTTTTCAGGCGGCATGCCCGACGTGGGCTACTTCACGCACCAACGCTACTTCAGCGGCATCGTCGGCTGCATCTCCGAGATCGTGCTGGCCGGCGAGATGAAGCTTAACTTCGATCCCAACACGCTGGGAACGGAGCACAACGTGGAGACGGGCCTCCTATGAAACGCTGTACCGCACGCACGCCTCAAGACTTTTGATATCGACTAGTTTAAATGTTATGTTAGCCACACAAATGTCCTTTGTCGGTTTGTGTTTGTACAAATACGCTTTTAAAACAAAAACAGAGAACGAACGAGGGGAAGGATTACAGGAGGAGGAGCATTTTTTTACACCAGGAGATGGAAATGAAAAAGGATATAATGATGCAGGTGGAGAAGGAGATACTATCTAGAAGGGAAACATACTACATATTATATACAAGCATATTGAGTATATACAAAGGCATACACATAGATATATATATTTAAAGCAGAGAAAAACAAAAATCGAAATACAAAAGGGCACGCTTCGAATAGAGCCTGTGACTGTCAATACTTCAGAACGGAATAGTTTATATATAACTTTAGCAAGAAAAAAAGGATTTATATATCGAAGGCGTGCAAGTCATATAGAATATGAAACGAAAGCGGAATATCGTTAATTGGGCGATTAGCGATTAACAACTTACGATTAAAACGATTAACGATTAACGAAATTCAATATCGATAGCGATACTTTAGTGTGTGGTCGCTTTTTTGAACGAACCGTTACGCTTTTACACGCAGAGCTGCCATCATTTTGTACCACACACAACACACACACCTAACACACGGTTACAAATGCAAATATTGGCAATTCTTTCGTTTTTCGCATTGCTGTACCTTAAACTATATGAACTGTAAACTGTATAACTGTACATTCAGCACTATTTGGCGCTTCTTGGAAGGTCCAGTGTCCAAAACCAAAAACGAACGAATCAAAGAGCGGAAAGCGAAGGATGTTAGAGAACGGAACAAACATATTAAGTGGTAAGTTAATAAATGTGTAGCGTGTACTAGCTCGTAAGTCGGCACACTCTCAACACACAACACAAACGACACACACACACGCCTGCCTATATTAACTTTTATATCAATTAACAAATCGTAAGGATACTAAAGACACCAAAGATACTTAAGACATACGTAAGGACACTCACACAAACACTACTCGAACACACGCTGAACCAGAATTGAAACTTGTGAGCGATTTTTAACAATTTATACTACAAAATACAATACAACAACACACCACAAACAACAAACAAATAAACAGAGACAACAACAACAAACTAGCTAATGGAAACCAAAACCAAAAAAAAACAAAACGAAAACGAAAGCAAAGCAATTTAACAATCCCAATAGCGAAATTTTTAAAAAGCGAAACAAACAAACAACTAATCCGAGAATAGCCTGTTGTAACAATTGTAAAACGAAAGCTAACGAAGTATGGTAAAAGTAAACAAATATAAAACGAATAACGAGAGGGAAACGTTTGTATTCGTCTTATGAGTATATAATTTTGTAGCTTAATGAGATAAACCACGTATGTAGTTATATATATACATCATAACACACATATGCGTAACTACATATACATATATGACTATGAGAACAACAACTATAGAAACAATGGCGTAAAAATGAATAAAGAAATCACAACCACCAATCAATGTAAAACTAAATTAAACGACATTCAATGTAGCTTATTTATATGACGAAACGGAAAAATCGCAAGTCGCTGGAGGCATTGAGAATATTTAATTTCGTACATTGGTTTGCAGAAAATAAAGATAAAAAGATTCTAACAACGGTATTTTTAAATTTGAATTATGGAAGCTTTTGGCGGGTAACCAGTTGGAAATGGAACTGGTTCGGTCGGTTCGCAGGGAGCCTGTGCTTCCTAGATTGGCAGATTTTCCAACACTTTTTTTCAGAGAAGTGAAATTAGTCAATTGCGGAAAATAATATGATGAATTATATATTTTAAATATATATTAAAGGGTAAAAAATTAAAATAATTATAAAAATATAAATTTATCTAAACATTTATTATTAATTTACTAAGTAAATAATAAATAAATCTATCGCTTTACTTCTATCGATAGTTTGCTGCTGGTATTTTGCAATATTCCACCGATGGTCACACTGAAAAAGCTGTGACCGACAACAACAACGTAAACAACAACAACATCGCCAAGTGATTTTTTTTGGCCAACTCTCCGATATTCAAGATACGAAAGAGGCGAAAACGGAGTTTAACGGATTGCGGAAGAGCGGCCTGACCACCAGACGCGGAAGTAGTAACCAAAACACAACTCGCCACCAGCCATGGCCGCGGTGCTGCCGGAGAACGCGGCCGAAATTGCGGTGGCCAACGCAATCAATAACATCAACGGGAATAATGCAAATGGAAATGGACGCAATCGGGTGCTGGCGGGCGGTGGAGGCGGCGGCGGTGGCGGACAGGTGAGTGTCCACATGCTAGAGCGGCACCCTTATCTTGGCCCTGTTTTGGCTTGCAGAACAACATGATGAACATGCGGGACCGCCTGTTCCATGCCATTTACTTTCGGGCGGCGGCTGCCTACGCGGAGCTGGTTCCACGGTAAGTGTCATTGCACCCTGTCTTATCTCTGCGGCTCTCTTATTATCATTATCTGTGTGTGTGATCCAGGAAGGTGCAGCTGACCATCGAGTTCCTACTGCTGGCCAAGGCGCTGCTGTTCTTCTTCACCCTCATCTACGTGCACAACGCGTTCATTAAGAATCCCTGCACTTGTCTGCAGGAGGTGCAGAACTGGCCACGCGAGGGAGTCATCAGGCAAGGCTTACTCCCTAGTCAATCCTTATTGCTAATTATCTGTACTCCTTTTTGGCAGAGTGGAGATCATACCCCATCTGGCGGAGAAACGAGCCATTTGGCAGGGCATCAAGCGGGATCAGCATATAGTGCGCTCTTTAAAGGATTCCTAGTGGGTAATCCTAGACAGTAATGAAGGATCATGACTCATGAAAGTCTCTACTCTTTTAGCTACTACGGCATAGGCCCACAAACCCACGAGAATCATAACCAGCTGAGGCGCTACGAATCGATCCTGGGCAGACTGGGCCTGCCCGTTCGCCCCACCTTTGCCTACAGCAACGAATCGCTGTACTACTACTTTGATGCCATCAATATACTGGACACCTACGACCATCCCAATGCCATACAGCTCAAGAACGAAGAGGATGATGGTGGGATTATGATTACGGGCGTCATACCAAAAGGAATTAAACCATTTTCTTATGTTTGTTCTTACAGAGGAGCAGTACATTGTGGAGTACTCGCTGGAGTACGGCCATCTGCGCCTGTCTGCTGCCACAAGGAAGCGCCTGCAGATCCCCGTGCTCACTGTCCAGCTGGATCCCAATACGAACAAGTGCTTCGGCGACGGGCTGACGCGCTATCTGCTGAAGCGATTGCTTGGGTAGGGTATTTGCTATCTTAATCTATTTCCTTAAATTAAAACCTGCTTTCTGCACAGCTATGATGACCTGCTGATGGCTTCTGTGAGAACCATTGCCGAGAAGGAGGAGAACAAGGGCTATCTGCGCAATGTGATCACCGGCGAGCACTATCGCTTCGTGTCCATGTGGTGGGCCGCCTGGAGCAGCTATCCCGTTGCCTTTTGTGTGATGCTTCTGTTTGTGAGTGACACTTCAATTCAATTAATTAACGATTAACACTAACTAAACTCTTACCTTCAGACCTTCTCTGTATCCATGCTGCTTCGGTACTCGCATCACCAGATCTTTGTCTTCATAGGTAGCTACAGCGAAGAACCTTGTTTAATTGAAATCCATTGAAAATCTGTTTTCCATCTCAACAGTGGACCTGCTGCAAATGCTGGAGTACAATGTGTCCGCCCGGTTTCCCATAGCTCCTTTGCTAACCGTCATTCTGGCGCTCGTAGGTAAGCTAAAGCCCTTGCGACTAATTAACTTTCATGGTCATTAACCCTTCGTTATCTCTGGCTCTCTCCCTCTGCTGCAGGAATGGAGGCCATTATGTCGGAATTTTTCAACGACACCACGACGGCCTTCTACATCATACTGATTGTGTGGATAGCGGATCAATACGACGCCATATGTTGCCACACGAGCATCACCAAGCGTCATTGGCTCAGGTGCGTACCACACTCTCTTAACTGGCATCCCCAAGCGCGTTTTCAGGAAGGCTCTCAGGTCGTGTTTGATTTTTATTTTTCTGTGAAATCGTCCGTGGCCCGAACAAATGACAAATTCAATTACATTAAGTCTGCAATCCTTTCCAGCATCAATGTCTGTATGTTGCTGCTGCCGTCGGGCCATAGATAATAGCATCCAGTCGGCATCTTGGCCCTCCCGTTCCCATAGCCGTCATCAGCACTTAACAGTTCATTTCGTTCGGTTTCGCATATTTTCCTTCTCCAGCGTATTTCACACTCCTTGCCCTGGCCAACCGACGACCGTTAGAGAAGTCCCGGTTGTTATTTGAAAATTAACTTGGCTTGCGCAAGCCTCCCCCGGGGCCAGGAACAAATCGACCAGTGGCCAGCCATCCCCTTCGCCTGGGGGCGGGCGTTGGGTAGTGTTCCCCACTCCCACACCCACACCCACGCCCACTCACACACACCAACACACAGACACCGGCAAACAGAGAATTTCATCACTTAAGTCAACAAGCGTAACCCAAGCGCCAAGCCACATCCATGTAGCTCCCAACCAACTGAGCCGCGCCATTAGCAAACATTTAAATAAACTCGCTTCTTCATAACACAAAAAAAAAGGAGAGGGAAATATGCGGAAAAGCGAAGGAAATTTAGAGCCCGGCTCATTCCCGTTCGATCGACATTAATGACTATGCACGTCAGGAAAGGACAGGACAGGACAACCCCATCGTTTCGTAACCCATCCCCAGTCCAGAAGCGTAGCTACTTTGCGGTTTATTACGCGCACTTTGCATAATTGAGAAGCGGCCGCCGCATAGAAATTATTTTTACTTTTTTTTCGGCAACTCGGGCATCAATTTCCACGATGCGCCGAAGGAGGGACCATCAATAATTCAAAAAGACACTCGAAAATTCCCTTTTTAGCGAACGTCCGTCCGCCGGTCCGTTCGTGCGCCTTGATTATGAATTCATGTGCATGCATCCGTCCTCAATCACTGCCCTCGCCGCCTCCTTGCTTGCGGTGTTGATTTTGCGTAATTTGCGCCGAATTAAATGGCTATCATTGCTCCCTGAAAACGAGGCCCACTCGCTTGGTCTCCTTGAAGACCACTTGTCGTCGTATTTATATTCATTAAAGATTCATCGACGCGAATGATTTTAAATGCTTCCGGCTTGTGTTTGCCCAGAGCTTGTCGCGGGATTGTTATGGAAATGGAAAATGGCAATGGCAGCGACAGCTGGGAAATGCCCAGGCGATATAGCCTCAATTAGCAGGGAGCTTTCGCTCGGTGTATGTGGGACAGAAATTAACAATTTATGAAGAGAATAAGGAGCACCCATAGAGATCCTTGTGACTCTCAAATATATACATACATATGCATCTCTAAATCGAGATGAAAAGGTAGTCTTGATTCCGGATGCCATCGATAGTTTCCATACGCACCGAGACTACTAATCTGCGGGGCTGGCTGGCTGATGTGCTGCTGTTGGCCAAAAGAAGTATCTTTTGTGTCTGCCGACCCTTGGAGTTTCGCATAACTCATCATTTGCTTGCCCCGAGATTGTCAAACTTTTTGTGAGGCAAAAACTTTTGAATGGAAAAATATCCAATTGCAGTGTGTGCGCCGGTTGAGAATCCTTTTCTGTGCAATTGAATGGCAAACAATATTCGATGTTTCGCCTTCGTCTAGGTAGCTAAAATATGGATCCAAGGAGGAGAGCTTCTCCTGGGGCAGCTGCTTGGTCCTCGCTTTAAGTGAAATTAATTCAGCAAAGGGTCTGCACTATCCATGTCTGTACTAGAATGTGAGTGCCATATGGACCGGACACTCCGCCGGAACCATAAATGCAGGCATCTGAGTTTTTCTTCTGCGTGTGTGTCTGGAGGGTGTGTTTTGTGCGGGGAGAGGGAAATTGTGTGTGTGTGTGTGTGTGTGTGTGCTTTCGTACGGTTTAATTTTGCTGTTATTGACTGCCCCGGGCGGTGAAAGGGGTTTCCGGGACTGTTTTTCAATACCCTTGCACTGGGCAATTATAGTTTGAGTAGGAAAACGTAACTCAATATATGTATGTAAATATTTATGAAATATCTAGAAGTTTTAAAGAAGAATTTCAATCGAACTTAAAAACATAGAATAAGATCTCTTATTGGCCATGTTCTTATCAAAAAAGGTCTAGCATATGCTGTATGACCGTTGAAAGCCACAAAAATGCGCAATCTTATAATAAGATTACTTAATAATACTATACTATATACTATCTATAATCAATGTTCCCTTTCGATTTTCCATTTATATGTAAGTTATATGGAAATTTCACAGCTTGCAAATTAGTTTTCGTCTTACTAAAAAGTTCTCAAATCATGAAGGAATATCTCTACATTTTCGCTCTCTTGAGAACTACAATAGGGAACGTGAGAGTTCCGTTTCAGCTGCTCTCTCAGAAAGTTTAGCATTTTGTCTCTCTGAATACACAATGAGAGAGAAACTTATATAAGATTCTAATAGGAAAAGGAATAGAAAGGGAATGATTAAAACGGTTAAGGAAACTTTACGACGTCAAATATGCTTTTGTCTTATCTTTTTTCTTTATTTTAATGCCATTTTTTAAAATAGCTTCTGTTTACGAGCTTGTGGCTCTTGTTATTCTTTTCAAATATGTTCTATTATTTATTCCTTCCTTAAAAGTTTACTAGACAGTATACATAACTGCAAGGTTATTCAAGTTATTCGCTCACCTACCTTAGGTATCATTATTTTTGAGAAAAATGACTACGTGTTTAAGATGTTAAAGAAACTTTCAAGTTTATTATTAAACTAGCTTAAAATGTAACTTTTACTTATTTAGAATTCCTGGTTGGGTATATAAAACTTCGGTTTTCTAAATATATAAACTCCCTCCTCTTGCTAGCTTCTGGTTTGGCCCTGCTGTTGTTGGTCCTGCGGTTATGGGTTACAGGGCCGGGATTGCTTGTTCTGCTGCTTCCTTCCTGACTTCCTTCCTGCCTGCTGGTGGTGGTGGTGCTCCTTCTCGTGATCCTTCTGCTCGTGCTTCCGTATTTGCCTGCCTGTTTTTGCGGTTAACTTGGTCTGCGAAAGGCAGGCAGTCAGCCAAGGCCCAAGCTCGGGCCAAAGCCGGCTGGCATTGAAGTTAGCATACAAGACAAACAAGCTGGCGGCGCTTTTCGCTTTTTAGCTGTGTCCCAGAAAGCCCCGCCTGCCGATCCCCGCTATCGCGGTGCCCCCAAACGGTATTAATTTCATTGCATAGACTAATTTGTGTACTTAAACTTTGCTAAAAGTTGCAATCAACGTGAATTGCAAATGGTTGAATTGCAGACGGCAGTTGGAAGCTTAAAACTGTCAAGTGGCCCGTACTCACAGCCGTCGAACGGGGCAACAAAACCTCTAGCCCCAGCTCCAGTTCCAACTCTAGCTGCTTCTGCTTTTAGACAGCCAACAACTAACCTTCTGAACTTCCTGTCAATTGCCTTCAATTCATTCTAATTGACTTTTAAGGGAGTTTAAAGCCATCAAAGGAGCTCCTGCCCTGCCTTGCCTCGCTCGGCTCCTCTTAATCGCCGTTTAACGAGGCCGCCAAGCCATCCCTAACTACCGGCTTCCATACGGCTGTGTGGAAAGGTGGAGCATAATAAGCCCCTGACACCCAACTTTCACCCCATCCCAGTAGCCCTTTCTGTTCGCGCCAGCTTCTTATTTTGCCCTGTGGCTTCTTGCGGCGCGTAATGCTTCTTTTGTGCTTAAATCTGGTTGCCAGGCACGGGGCAGACGACACGTATTAAATGAGCTGCAAACGCACAGGAAAAAGCTAAAAGAAACACCTGCCTGCCTGCCTGCCCGCCAGTTCTGCCTCTCCATTGCCCGCTGGCTACGAATCCTACTTGAGTCCTGCGCAGATTGTTTGTCGCACCGAGAAGCTGGCGAGGAAGCTGTTGCGCTAAGGCCGAAGGACCAGTGCTGTCAATGGCTTATTTCATTAAGCACAACAGATCGGGCAAAGTGGAGGGTAAACGATATAAGATATTTGGAAAATTTAAAGACGTATTTGTATATTAAAAGTTAATCACTAATTTATAGCTGTTGTTTTTTTAGAAAGAGTGTTGCATAAAATGTCTTTTATTATACAGAGAAAAAACTAAAAGTTAAATGTTGTAAATGAATGAACCAGTTTATATCAAATATAGTCCGCGTTCTGCTCTCATTCTCGTTGCCTTGATCATCAGTTACTCATCTTTGTGATGGTTTTAATATCGCTTCCTTTACTCGTCGTTTTGCTCTCAATCTCGTCGTCTTCACTCGCGGCTTTGATTGCTCGTCTATTGTCCAAGCTTTAAAATTCAGAAATGTAATCGTTAAAGATCAGATTACCGAGCAGTGACATATTTGGCATACTTTCATCCTAAAACCCCTTAAACCAAGTACACAATCTAACCAGAATCAGGACGAATTGACAGCACTGCTAAGACATCGCCTTGGCGGCATCAAAGAGCAAAATGCCAGGCACAACTCCTGGCTGGAAGGGGTGAAAAGGGGTCAGGTCGTCGGTTACAGTAGCGCGCCTCAAGTAGCTACCTTCGTCTCTGCTTTCGTCCTGTTGTTTACACGCTTGTTACGCTAACAAACACACGGGCCATAGCTGTGCTATATATATATATGCGTTCATATATATATTGGGACCAAAAGACCATATAATATATATATTCGCTTGCCATTGTTGCCGCTGCTCGGTCGCAAAGGTGGCCACGGTGTCGGCGGGTTAGCCTCAACGTCAACGGCATCGGCATTGGGAACCATGGTGAAGAAGGCCCCGGGAAATCGGGGGAGAGTGGGAGGGGCAAAAGGCGGTGGCATTTTCCTTACGCTTTGCACTCCTTTGGCTGTTTTCGTGTTGATTGAGATCATGTTACGCAAAGTATAATTGCGTCAAGTTTGTTTTTCTGCCATAACTTTTGTCCAACCGAGCCGAGCGTCGAGCGACGAGCAGAAGTGGCCACCCAAAGGGGGGAGGGTTGGGTTGGCATACTCTCCTGGCCGTGTCCTGGGCGTATCCCCTAACCGAGTGGGTGTTGTTCAAAGGTGCAGTTGATGAGTGTTCATAACGAGGCAAAATCGCTTCATTGTTATACGCTGCCTCCTCCTCTGCCGAGGCCTGTCAACTTGTGTGTTTGTGCTCCGTTTGTTTCAGTTTCAGCTTGTTGTTTGTTTGCCAACATGGCGTATGCGCAACGTGCCTTTGTCTCCTTGCTGCTGTTTGCATACGTATGCGCCAACTCTGTTCCAATTTATGCATGAAAATGGGTCGTTTTCACGCATTTAGAGGCAGCAGCAGCAGCAGGGTCAGTGAGCACATAGTGTTTGCCTTGTAAATACTTCAGTTTTTTTGTAATATTTCAATTAAGTTTCGAGTTGCATTCGAGGGTCTTTTCCCCCACCTAATCGAACTCATAATACTACTCATAACGCTGCTGTTCAGAGCACTCACGGCAAAGATATGCAATCCCATATGCAAATGCTATTAAAAGCAGCTACACCAGCAAAAGTGCTTACAAGCTCATTGAGCACTTTAACTATTACTGGGACCCCCTCGTTGCTGCTACCCTGTTTGCTGGCAACAAATAAACACTTATGACGCAGATCGGATCACACACCGTCGCTGGAGGAGCCGTCAGAAGCAACAGTGCAGGTTTAACCGAGGTGCTTACTTAACTACACTCCTCCGACTCAGTCTCAATGCCCAGACACATGCAACAGTTGTCCTATTTGCCATCCTATACTGCCATCTCCGCCCACTTCCGCCTTCGGTCTCCCTCTCGGGTCGAAGGATATGAAAGCCAAACAGTATTTGCCTGGCGCACATCCGTCCTGCCATCCGTCGCACACTGGTCCAATAATGGCTGCGAAACTGAATATGGCAGTGAAAGCTTTGTGAGAAAAAAACAAGAATGTTTTTAATTAAAAATGGTTTAATTCTGATATCTCTACGCCGCACTGCAGCAGTCTGAAAAGTGCGAACTTCACAGAGAAAAAGCCTTTGCAGTTTGTGTATTTTTGTATTTTAAACACTCGATGATGATGAATAGTAATTGTATATTTAAGGAAATATCTTAGTACAAGCTCAAAAACGCATTATTATTTTCTAAAAGAACTCTTAAAATCAAAATACTTCATGTACTTATAGTAAATGTATTATATTAAAATCAAATGCTCTTTTTTTATATTCTTCTATTAAATAATTTAATTAGTATTGCTTATGTGAACTAAAAATAGATTTAAGCTAATACCATGAAAAGTTCTCTGTTAAAGGGATCTATCCTTCCCAAAACATTGTCTTTTAAGGAAGTTATCCACTAAAATATATTATTGTGTCCACTTTAAAGACTTGTCCGCTGTGAGGACACGCTGTTCGCCAGAGTCCTAGCCGGAGTATCCATATGATAATGCAGCCTGTCAGACAGGGATTTCGTCGCCGTCAGTGCACTGTGCCTTGCCTGAGGCACTGCAAGGCGCTGTGGTGTAATGTGGTATGTGGCAAGGATGAGAACGGATGAGTGGGTAAAGGGAGAGTGAGAGGGTCACAGTCACAGGAAAGGGTAAAGGATGCGGGGATAGCACAACAGGCGTGTAGCTGCTTGTCAACGCTACGCTACATTAGAAAAGCGAATGAAACGGAAACGAACGGGCGATAAGTGTTGTCTACGTGTCTGCAGCTCGCACTTCCACTTCCACATCCGTTTCCCCAGGACTCCAGGGGGGAGTAGGGGAAATTGAGGAAATTGCTGGCAAGCGATTGGCGGGGGATGTGTCCATAATGCTCAATGTGCTCGCTCCCTGGTTTGCGCAATGCCCTGGAAAGGCTTGCTAAATAAGTGTCGTGTGTCTTCATTTGTCGCCGTTGATATTGATGTCGGCGAAGAGTCCTAGAGGTTGTGTGTGTGTGCACAATCAACTCGAATTAAATTCAATAACATAACTCAATCATGGAACCCAAAAAAGAAAAAAAAACAAGCCGGCTCTCTAATAATAAATTAAAGTTGAATTCCGCCAAAGGACCGACCTCGGTCCGGTTGTCAGGCTCTGTCCATCCGGATGTCCCGTCGTCTCCCTGGTCCGGCTGTTTGTCCGCTCGGCCATGCTTATCAATGGAGTCGGCCTGGCTGTCATTATTGTTGCTTCTGTTGTTGTTACGGGCATCCATTGTGTTTTTTATTTGTTGTCTTTGGCGAGCAACAATTCAACTAACAGCGCCAGCAATTATTTATATTATTAAATCCTCTTGAGTGTTTTTCCTTGCGTCCTTCCTTCCGCTCCTCCCTCGGCTCCTTCCGCTCCTTCGGCTATTGTTGTTTCCGTTTCTAGCCGCGCGCTGTTGTCTTGGCAGTTTTGATATTTGTCCGCCTCGGCTACGGTTACTTGTTACTCTTATGTCATGGCCCCTGTACTCCCATCTATCCGCCACACGTCTGACCCATTTCTCCGCAGCTTATGCCCAGCCCCAAAAAACAAACTGTTGGGGAAGATGGGTCGAGGAAAAATAAAAACAAAAATAGAAAAACAGAAACCAATATGTTTTCGCTTTTTATTTCAGTCAGCTAAATACCATTTTGTCGAATGGTAATCATGATAGCCCCCTTCAGTCCTTGAAAAACATCAACCCCCCACGTGATCACCGATGTTTGATGAGGGTTTTTTTTTCGTAGGCTCAGACACCAATTTTTGACAGCTTTAAAGAAACCGGAGAGGAAAAAGATTGTTCATAGTGAATGTGTTTTGGTTTGCTAGATTGCTTCTCTCTGTCCTTAAGTGCTTTTGACACTTGTGAGGAAACTGGAGTGGGGACAATGTATCACTTAGCTATTGACAGAACTCTAAAATACAGCTCAATCCGAAAAATCATTCGGTTCTACTATAAAGGCGACACGAAAAAGAGTCCTTACAAGAGAGGTTTCTGTCGGAGTCAAGAAGATTTCTTGTGAATTCAGAGAAATTTAATGCAATGCTCTCTCAGAGAGCAGTTATTCATTGCTTGTAGATCACAGCAAAGATGCAAGGGAGGGTCAGAGAGAAGGAAATCGGTCTGAATAGAACGAAAATTTCTTTCCCATCTAAAGTTAGAGAGCTATAGAAAAGAGCAAAAGTAAGCGGTTATTTTGATTCTTTTTTAATTAGGTTTACGAGCAAACGATGTTTGGAGAGTAGATTTTGATATTTTTTATGTATGTATATCTTAAGAATATTGTGTCAAACTTTTACTTCGATCATACCAAATTTGATTAAGTCAGAGGTCATTTGGTTTTCAACGTATGAGTATCGCAAAGTTTAAAGTGTTCTCCTGAAAAATGATATTTTGTAGATTCTTGTAAACTAAATTAAACAAAAAATGTTCAAATGTTTTATTATTATATGAAATTTAACTGATTAAGCAAACTTTAGCCACAACAATTTCTTGAAAAGTGGCCCGTTCTGCACCAAATTATCTGGTAATGTGCACCAGCACAGTATATCAATCTTACCAAACCTGAAGAAGGACCCCCTTTGCTATTGTCACCAAAAATAAACCACATGAATGTGGGAGGCAAGCATCTATCTCTCTGCCTGCATTCGGCATTGGCCGATTGTTTGGACCTTCTTCTAACCTACCCATTTTTTTGTTCATTTCCTCCTCGCAGGTTCTTCTACCTATACCACTTTGCGTTCTATGCGTATCACTACCGCTTCAGTGGACAGTACAGGACGCTGGCCCTGCTCTCCTCGTACCTCTTCACACAGGTGAGTGCGGGATGTGCAGCCAAGCTGGATGGCTGGATGGCCTTATGGCCCCATGGCCATGGCGTAACCATGGCGAATAATGAATGCGTTATGCAACGGCGCTGCGACAATGATGGAAACGAACTCCGGCCATGTTTACGCCTGTCAAGTGCATGACAAATTGCCATTCTGGTGGCTGCCCCGATCCGCCAATGCCATTGCCATTGTGGCATTGTTTCCAGCCGGGCTGCTGGGGCGGAGGCTCACGTGCAGACCCGGACTTGGCTCACGTGCCCGGCAAACCCATGGCATAACGTCTCATCCTCTCATGCTTTAACCATATATCTGTCTGAGCTTGGGTCCTGCTTTTTCCCTTCTCGCAGCACTCGATGGTGTTCTTCTTTCATCGCTACGAGCTGCCAGCCATCATGGCCCAGCACCAGGTCTTCATAATCACACGCAACCAGGGGGCAGCCGCAGCAGCGGCGGCCGCAGCAGCAGCACGGGGTGGAGCAGCTCCAGCTCCGGGTGCTGCAGTCCAGGTGGACGCAGGAGCGGGAGCTCCCGTCGTTGGCCAGCAGGCGGCCATGCAACGTGCCCGTCTCATCGTGACGCGACTCTTCAGCCAACTGGCAGCACAGCGCCAGCAGCAGCGACAGCAACAGCAGCAGCAAAATCAGCAACCGGAGCCTCAGCGTGCACCTGGACCCACTTACGCCGTCGGCGTGGCCTTGGCCAACCTGAGACGACTGCCCGTGGTGGGGCAGTGGCTGCAGGGCCGAGAGCAATTCGCCACTGTGCGTCGCGTCTTCCTGGGACACGGCGGCAACGGGCGACTGATGCAGGTCCACCTACAGCGCATCAACGTGGCCGACATGCCGGATATCCAGGGCTTGCGCAATCAAATAACTGCGGCCATTGCGGCAGCAGGAACACGAGCAGTACCAGCCGCAGGTCAGCGTGCAGAGGCCACGTCTGATGAAGCGAGCGGGGCCAGCGATGCCACAGCAGCAGCAGGATCATCGCCGGGAGCCGGAATTGCAGCAGCAGCAGGTGAGCTTTGGCGACATTCCTGGCCTTAATTGAGTGGGGCCGGCACACTTCATTGCCTTTCACATTGAGGGCTTAAGCTCTTAACTTTTGCGGCAACCATTTGCATACCCTTTCAGTGGGCATTCGGCTTTGCATTAAAAGGATAGCAGTGAAAAGACATTTTTTATATTATATTAAAAATATGGCAATATTTATAGGCTCAGGGAATTGCCATTACGGTTTAACTTTACTTTATAATTTAAAGTCCATCAAGGTGCAGCATTCCGTGGGGTTGAGCTTCGTATAAGGAGTTTCTATAAGGAGTTAAGATCCATGAAAGATGACTGACAACTGCATGAGTGCAATCTCTCCCTAAGAAGCAGTCCAATTATAGAATATCCAAACTTCGTCTTGGCCTTGCCACTTGAATTTTTATCCCGATGGCAGAGCAGATTTCGTTGCCATGAAGTCCGCCTCTTTTCTCTTTTTTTTTGGCGTTGTGTGTGAAATCGTTTGGAAGATAAATTCAAATTTGAATTCCACTCGACAACCGGGCCAATCCCCTTTGCCTCCGCCGCGTATGTGAGTTGGTAACAACCAAACAAGCAATACAAATAACAGATTCAGTGGCAATAAATGCCAGCGAGAGCTCCTGTGGATGGAGAGCAGGATGTGGATGGGCGGCGCCAAGGAAGCCCTCAATTTCGGAGAGAAGAACATTCAATAGCCGGGGACCCAAAGCTGTTCTTTACGGCTGTCTGTGTCTGTCTGTCGGTCTGTCTGTATACAATAATCGTAATATGCATGAAATTATTTCTCAATTCGCAGGAAAATATTCACTGTAAATGTTTCGCTTGTCATTTCCTGTTTTATTTTCACTCTGCCTTCGAAATTCCCTGCATATTTCAGATGTCGAAACAAATCAGGGACGCAAGCAGCCGACATCAGCAGCAGCATCGGGCATAAATGATGCAGCAGCAACAGCAGTAGGCGAGACAGCAAAGGGAGCGGAAGCAGCTCAGGATAGGTCCGGTCAGGAGATGGAGCTCAAAGTGGAGCCAAAGAAGCTCCAGCCGCCGGATGGGGAAAGCGAGGCTGGCGTGTCCAAGACGCTGGAAAATCTAAATTCCGTTGCGGCGGATATTATAAATATGTCGGATAAAAGTACGGACAGAGCGACAGAGGCAGTGGCGCCCGGTCAGACCCTGATCCACACCCACGCCGACGTCCGGTTCCATCATGGCCAGCCAAAGGCGAGGCAATTAGAAAATAATTTGCCAGAGTTGCTGAAAGCATCATCAGGTGAAAAGCAAAGCTGCCCACTGCCGCAGCCAGCGCTCAGCATTATTATGAATGACCAGCAGCAGCAGCAGCGGCAGAAAAACAAACAGGACGAGGCCGAGGACGAGGACGAGGACGAGGACGGGACAGCGGCAACAACATCAGCAGCTGCCATGTCAAAACAATCCTCGGAGCCTGGAGCAGCAGAGGTAGGAGCTACAGCCGGGCCAATGATGGATGACAGGCAAACAGTTGATTTTATAGAAGGCGACAGCCCAACGTCGGCAGTAAATTGCCAACTCAATGTTGGCGCAGACCACAAGGCCCAGGAGCAGGGGCAGCAGCAAGAGGAGCAGCAGCTAATGAAAACTTCACAACATACATCAAGCCAAGTGACAACAGCAGCAGCAGAAACGGCATCAGAATAAGCCAGGCATTAGTGGCACAACCCCGACCCGAAAAAAAGCCCGATCCACACAACCCCAGCACCAATGGAGTCCCGAAAAAAAACCCAGCAAAAAGCCACAAAGCAAGATGTTATACATAAAGGAGCTAGTAAATTTTTAGATAATTTGTCTGGTGTACTTATGTCCGGAGATCAGCCACAGCTCGACGCACCGCCCCGCTCCGCCCAGGTCCGAATGTGTGTTTGTGGGTGGATGGGAATGGGGGAATGCATGGATGGATGGATGGATGGATGGATGGGTGGGTGATGAGGAGCGCCGTGTGAGGACGTGCTTTGAGCTCGGACTGAAACGAGAAACGAGGAGACGTGAAAGCGCGTAGTTGACCTGCTTGCACTAGCAGGCAAAGTCAGGATATATATTAATAATAATAATGTTGCTCGCCTTTTTAATTAGCCAAATACGTGAGAAGCCGCAACACATGTACGGATACGGCTACGGATACGGATACGGATACACAAACATGCACACCGCAAGCTAGTCGCTTTTTAAACTTAACTTCACTTTTTTTTCCCCTCATCTTTTGTTTGCCTTTCTTTTTTTTTATTGAGAAATATGCGTTGAAAATTTTTAATTAACTTTCGAGCTGCCTTTTTACCCGGACCCAACTCCACCTAGCACGCCAACCGTACGGACAAACAGCCGGGAGCTCTTCCGGCCGATAACCATGCCGATGCCTCCGCCTTCGTCTGCTCATCCAAAGCTAAGCGCCTTTTACCATTAATATTATGAAAATGCCATTTGTCAATTGTAATATAATTTTGTGAGGATTTTTTATTTGAAATTTTATCATGGTAATGCCACAAATTAAACACTGTGAATATTCATGAATAAATATCGTTGATTGTAAACACTATTGACCTCTAATGGAGTCAATGCTTTGAGGGAAATTCTTTAATTGTTTGTTTTCGTTTCGTTTATTTATGTAAAGTACACTGTGTTTGGTTTGAGATAGTGAGTGTGTCGAGGTGTTTCTAGGACTAATCTAATAAGCAATTGATGCCCGAGGTCGGTTTATAATTCTTAACTTTACACCCTAAACTTATATATACTAGTAGCTATGACTATTTGCTATTGCTAAACAAATAAAAATAAAAAAAACAATGTTATTTCTAAATGTGTATAAAATAAAGATACGACATGAATCAATGTCCATAATGCGTGTGTAATTGTTACTTTGGGATGAGGTGGAACAAGGCCAGCTGGACCTTGGTTTTGATTTCTAATGAGTCTGAAAATGGTTAGACCATTTGCATAAATGTTAATAGCCTGCCCTCGTCGGCTGTTTAATTTTTGACTGGAACACAAACAAATTATGCCGCCATCTGAAATTGAGGCTTGATTTGCATATTTCCGCCTTATAAACTAACCGAGCGAAACCAATTCTCGGGGTTCTCAGTGTTGATAGATATTGCTGGGATATAGATTTTATTGATGTTCAAGCAGAGGGGTGCTTCTAAAATATTAAGAAATCATCCCTAATGAGGGGATGTTTAACATTTAAATGTTTTCTTTTGCTTAAATTCAAATTGAAAGCATGAAATTATAGCTTTCAGAGATGGTAAAGCATTCTTTTCCAGGTTCTTACATGATTTTATACAGCATTACTTTGGTAAATTTGTCTTCTTGCTATCAAAAAGGATAAAAGAAAGCTGAGGTTTTATAATCTTTTAAAATGCAGTCCAAAAGTATGCTAGAAAGTGTAGAATTTAGAAACAGTTTGAATTTAATTGTAATCTCTAAGGATTTACATACTTAAACCCCTTTTAAAATATACATGTAATATTGTAGATTAAATTTCGAGTTACTTAAAAGGATTAAAGAGTATTGGAAATCTTTGCGAGAATATTTTTGAAACCTTCCTATGCCATCATTATCATTATTGATGGCTTTAGGTTTGTATTCTTTTTTTCCTCCGCCCAGCAAAAGTTTGCCGCAAAAATATGTAAATAAAACAATGCAAATTCGGAGAGCAGCGACTCCTGATGCTGCTGCTCCTCCTGATGATGCCGCTGCTCGTGCTCCTGCCCATAGTAACTTGTGCTGTCAGTGCACATTTCTTCCAGCTCGCTGATGTGAGCACGCCAAGTAACTTACAATAATAAACAGCGGGTCGTCGTCGTGTGTTCCGAGTTGAGCGACTAGCAGACAGCAGCGGGGACATCCATCGCCTCGCCAGGACGATGACGGAGTGGAGGTGTTCGGGGCCAGACAGCCCGTGACAGCCGGAGCATTCCAGAGAGATCCCATCAAGAGATGCCGATGGTCGAGGAGTTGGGGAAGACATACATATTTATTATGTCGCAAGTACTCGACGACTGCCTATATGAGCAACGTGAGCTTCCTTTGATTAACATCTTTATCAATATTTTCTTATTATTTGCTCATTTCATCAGAGAGGGAGCTGGGGGCAGGGGCAGCGCCGGCAACTTTTCAATAAAGGAAAAAGCTGGCAACTGACAGCAGTAAAAAAAAAAATATAAACAAATCATTTGCATCTCATTAATGCAAATCACACACCCACTCACACACATACCCCCCGCTCTGTGTGGGTGTGTTTTTAAAAGGCTTGTCAAATCCCCACTCCCAGCCAAAGCAACCCCGCGGCGGAATCTCTACCACGCTTTAAACCCAAACCTACCAACCTCCGACTCCCACTTCCGACCCCGAGAAACCCCCCAAGGAAGCTGTTAATCAGAAGTTAAACAAAGTGGTGCCTACTTTCGAGCTGTGATTACAAGCAAAACATTTTAATTGGCTCTTTATATATACGTATGTTTCCACAGCAAACATGGCTCACAGGCAAATACATAAAGGCTTAAGCCCCCGAAAATATCCGAAATACACACCCCACACATGTCAATGATTTGTTAGTTATTTTTCGGCAAAGGCACCGCGGGGCGCGTGCTGAAATACCCGGGAACCGTAATTGAAATTGCATAAGTACAATAAACGCAAACTATGGAACAGTTCAAAGTGATGTAACGCTATTATTTATTCTCATTTTACATATGTCATACCATTGCGTAATTTGTTTTATGAACTTCCTGAAAGAGCTTAAGAAATTCCCCAGAAGTATGTATAATTACAAAGCTCAAAGGTCTCGGAAATGGTGGGGAAAAGGCTCCCATTATTCTGTCATTATTATGTATTGCAATTTAAGCCAGAAGTTTGAAACGCAGGGAAGGAGTGATTTAAGACCCCATAAATCATATGGAGTTGATCTAAACTTGTCAGAGAGAAAATAAAACAATTCAAAATTTTATACGGGGTTAAAATTGTAAACAAATTGTTAAGAATAAAATAAAAGCTGAAACAGTGAAACTATCGAATTGAAATGAATCCAATTACCAGCTTCAAAGGTATACAAATTTTGGCTCTCCAAAACTACCAAAATTAGGCTTCCTTCTTCCACTTTAGTTCAATTAAAATTCTAAACTATTCAAAGAAATTGTAAAGATAATTATTAGTCAATAACAGAATAGTTGTTAAGAGGCTTAATTCCTTTAGAGCCCTTAATTAGTTGGGGAAATACATTTTATTAAGATTTTCCTTTGAATTTTAATAAGTTTTATATTGAAACTGAAATAGTGTTGTAATGAAAGTATAAACTATTAATAGCAGAATTGGAAACAAATAGGAGAGCTACATTAATAAGGCTACAAGTTAACTACTTGTGCTATTCAGAAGCATATTGTTTGAAGCCATAGTTGCTGACAACACAACGATGTTGCATAGACACAGCATTGTTTATTGCCCAATAACTTCCATGTTTATCAACCAATTTTTCTGAAATTTTAGGAACCTCTTCTTAAATCTCTCTATTTCCATTACCCTTTGACAATGTTAGTTGCAATTTAAAAACATCAAAGATACCTACAACCAAAGAAAGTAAATCTCAAGAGCAGAATAAGTAATTACAAAATTCAGGTCAAGCTTACCTTGCATAAGACACTTTATGGTCTCGGACCGTGTTCCATCAAAGTTATAGTCGTGATTTTAACGGCTTCTACACTTTCGATTTCCGTTTGGATTGATGAACGAATCTCGCTGAACTACGTGTATTCTCAAGCAATAACATTTCGGATATCAGGTTATAGCTACGAGCATACACGTGGCCATTGGAGATTGCTTATAGTCCGGGGGACAAATGGTGGATATCCTTGGCACTTTCGCTGGTCGCAATCCGACACCCAGCGACTGCGGTCGCCGGATTCCATTTAATTTCCATCTACTTACCCAACGCTGAATGGAGAGCTCCTTTTCTGCGCCTAATAATGCCGAGCCGCAGAATTAATTGCACTATAATTTGTAATTAAGTTACCTGGGTGGCAAACACGAAACTATGCGGGCTGGAATGTTGGTGGGGCAGGGAAAGGGTTCTTTAGCTGGCTAATAAAACCGAAGGAGCCGGGAGCTAGGACCTCCACTGGTGTCCTCCATAACTGTACATGTAACTACGTTGTTTCACCGTAATTAATTAATTACATTACACAAACTTGCTGTCATCGCTGGCCTTTTTTGTATTATTTCGCTCTTCTGTGCTGCAACTGCAGGAAGCCAGGACGTTGCAGGAACCACCCCCAAGGAAGCCACTATATATAGCCAAAGAGGTGAGGAAAAGCAGAGGCCACAAACGAGCATCACTTTCAATGAAATTACACAGCTTGTTTCGCAATCGTTCCTGCCCCCCCCTTCGGCAATTATTTTGCAATTTGGTGGCAGCAGGGAAAGCCAATCAACTACTTTGGCAACTTTAGAGCTGCAAAATAGGAAAATGCAAAATGTAAATAAAATTAAGTCGCCTTGGCCATAAAACTTCATAAAAATGCATTAAAAGTTCTGTGGCAGCGCAGGTAAAAGTTGAGTTAATAAGCTGACAGATTCGCCAACGCCGTCGAGCAGCTTATAACATTATTCACCATTTAAGTCTAATATTACACATTTTTCCGGCTTTAATTGAGCAGGATAAGGGGGGAGGTGGGTGAGGGGCTAAGGGAGGAGTCGGGAAAATGCGTAGGAAAACGGAAAAATCAACAAATATCAAATTTGTGTTGCTGTGCTGCGCATTGCTGCGGGGCAATGGTTCTGTGATGTTGTTCCCGCTGTCTTCGTGTTGCTCCTTGTTGTGTCTCACACACACACACACAGAGAGAACAGGAAAACAGAGGATGCCAGGAGGAGACGAGACTCACACATACACACACTGGGTTGGAGAAATAAATCGCGCATAATACCGCATACCAGAGCAACAGCACGAAGTATTTGCACTGCGTGACAAACAATTTGTGCCAACATTGACAGCGGCGCATCCCGCCTCCTTCTGCCTGCTGTCTCCTGCTAGGGACTTGGACTGCAAGTGGACCCGGATCCGGATCCGACTCCTTATTCTTTCTCGCCCCTCGGTTGTATAAATAAAAATATTTTCATTCCGTTTCCATTCCTTGGGCCAGTGTTAATTGAAAAATCATTTGCTGGGACTTAATTAAGAGCAACTCCCACAGAGATTGGAATTTCTGCATCTAAATATATGCACTTTAGCTTTGCAGTTTTTTCGTGATTTCGTGGTAATCAAATTACCAGCTGGTCACGTCATTAGACCATGTTCTGGAATCGGGTAGCACATGTTAATCATATGCGGGAATCGATCGGGGATAGATAGATGGATGGCTGTCCACGGAAACAGCAGCGCATATATCCCGCTGCTAATGTGACACATGATTTCATTCCAAATTTATTTATGCAAACAGAAAATTGTTGCCACAACAATAACAGCGAATAGCGAATAGCGACTGGCGAATTTCCCAATAACAAAAACAGCAACAAAAAGGAAGAGGGATGGAGGAGTGGAAATGCCGGCGAAAGTAAACAAAGTATGCAAAAAAGGGCAGAAACGAGAGAAAGGAACTTTGATTTTGTTTGGTTTTTGGGGTTCTCTCCACAGGCCACTCGAAATGCGGGAAATGCTGCTCTTGGAGGGTTGGGAAATGGAAAATGCGTGTGTACACACACGCATGTCAAGGGTCTTCACAGTGAATTTTTGATCATTTCCTATAAATAAATAGTTCGGCCGCCTATGGATAGTTTTCGTCCTTTGATTGCCCCATAGAGGACACACACTCAAGTTCATATGCATTTTTTAATGGCAAATTGAAATC